ACTAACTTAGAAAGCATTTACTCAAAAGGGATCGACGTGAATTAAAACCAAGCCAAATATTGACACTACATGATTGGCAAGTAATCTAACCCTTTTTGAGTCATGATTAGGCTGCCATATGGTCCAACATGATGAAATGTAAGCGCATAGGGCAGCCACACTATTCCAATTCAAGTAACCACTGATTCTCTAGCAATAAATAGAATTGATGCCCATCAAATTGATCATTCACATAAGAAAAAAAAAAGCCTCCTTTCAAGCGAAGTGATTAGAGATGTACCTCTGTTCGAGCAGTGATCTATCAGAAAATTTATTTGACAACTAATTTTGCTTTGCTAAGATTTTGGTAAATCACTGATCTCATCAGATTTCATTCCTTTTGTCAATATCAACATAGCAATTGTGAAAAGATGTCGTGTGATGTACCTCGGTAATACGCAGTTCACAGAAGGCTAATTAAGTATTTATTGATTTTCTTGCTAATTCCTCAAGTTCTTATTCTTATCCAATTCCCTTTCATGTGATTTTTCCTTTCTGTTCTTTCCTTCGTCGCAGGTAGAAGTGTCATTCATGTACGTGGCATGAGGATCGATGAATTCACAAGATATGCCATATGTTGTTGTAATAAATAAGATTTTTGTATTAATTCTTATAGTAGAAGTTAAATTCATTTGGGTCTTCTTTTGCAAACATTTGGTGGAGATTAAGAGAGATTGTAATCCGGGCAAGAGTAACTTTTTGTTACCGTCATTGTGATTATGTATTTCGGGATGTTTTTATGCTTCTTCGATGTTTGTAGCCCACTGTTAATTATGTAACCTTTCACTATACGACAATTGTTAGGATGAAAGAGAAAAAAATCAGAGAATAAGACACACAAACTTTTTACGTGAAAAACCCTTCAAAATCAAAAAGGGAAAAATTATGGTGCCACAATAGGCAATTTGTTTAGAATGATAGTATCTTTGTCTGGTTATTTTGTTGGGTAGGATAAACTTGTCAAGTCGTAATAAAATCTTTGGAATGAGTTTGAAGAAAAATACAATATTAGTAGAGTAGAAAGAATAAATTTATGAAATTAGTGAATTATCATTGAAAAATTATGCTAATTTATCATATTTGAAGTGACGGTGGTCAGTCACTGGCCAAGCAAGGAATTTGGGTGTTGCACTGATCCTCTAACTTTGGTTATTCGATGTAAAGAAATTCTAGTTTATGCAGTTTATACCATCCATACATGGTGGTTTTTGACATTCAACAGTAAGCTCTCTTGTTGATCTGACTAGCTTTGGAATTCAAAATAATAAAAATTGAGCTGATAGATCAAGGATATGACGCTTTTCATGCCTATTATATGTCAAATTTGGAATGGAGCGAGTCTCTTGACACTTGCATCACTCACTACTAATAAAATATGAACCTAACATCTAACGGAATCAACCGTTAATTGCACATATTTACAAACTTAGAAAGCATTTACTCAGAAGGATCGACATGAATTAAAACCTAACCAAATATTTACATTGCATTACAAGCAACTAATCCAACCCTTTATAAGTCACAATTAGGCTGGCATATGGTCCAACGTGATAAAATGTAAGCTCATAGGTCGGCGACACTATTATCATTCGAGTAACTAATGATTCCCAAGCTATAAATATGGCACTTCTTCACTAACTTAGAAAGCATTTACTCAAAAGGATCGACATGAATTAAAACCCAGCTAAATATTGACATTGCATGATTGGCAAGTAATCTAACCCTTTTTGAGTCATGATTAGGCTGCCATTCCAATGTGATGAAATGTAAGCGCATAGGGCAGCCACACTATTCCAATTCAAATAACCACTTATTATCTAGCTATAAATATGATTGATGCCCATCAAATTGATCATTCACATAAGCAAAAAAAAAGGGCTCCATTCAAGCAAGTGACTAGAGATGTACCTCTATTCGGGCAGTGATCTACCAGAAAATTTCTTTGACAACAAATTTTGCTTTGCTAATTTTCTGGTAAATCACTGATCCAATCAGAGTTCATTCCTTTTGTAAATATCAACAGGGCAATGGCGAAAAAATGACGTGTGATGTACCTCAGTAATATGCAATTCAGAGAAGGCTAATTGAGTATTTATTGATTTTCTTGCTAATTCCTCAAGTTCTTATTTCTTATCCAATTCCCTTTCATTGTAATGACTGATTTTTCCTTTTTGTTCCTTCCTTCTTCGCAGGTAGAAGTGTCATTCATGTACGTGGCATGAAGATCGATGAATTCACAGGACATGCCAAATGTTGTTGTAATAAATAAGATTTTTGTATCAATTCTTATAGTTGTAGGTCATTTGGGTCTTTTTTTGCAAACATTTGTTGAAGATTAAGAGAGATTGTAATCTAGGCAAGAGTAACTTTTTGTGACCGTCATTGTGATTATGTATTTCGGGATGTTTTTCTGCTTCTTTAATGTTTGTAGCCCACTATTAATTTTGTGACCTTTCACTACATGACGTGTATCAGGAATGAGAGACGTAAAAGAGAAAAAATCAGAGAAGAAGACACAAAAACTTTTTACATGGAAAACACTTCAAAATCAAAAACGGAAAAATTACGGTGCCACGTTAGGCAAGCTCTTTAGAATGATAGCATCTTTGTCTACTTATTTTGTTGGGTAGGAGAAACTTCTCAAGTCATAATAATCTACTTAGAATGAGCATGAAGATAAATACAATATTAGTAGATTAGAAAGAAAAAATTTATGAAATCAATTAATTATCATTGAAAATATTGTGCTAATTTATCAAATTGGAGGTGACAGCCGTCAATCACTAGCCGAGTAAGGAATTTGGGTGGTCCACTAATCCTCTAGGTTTGGTTATTCGATGTCAAGAAATTCTTGCCTAGGCAGTTCATGCCATCCCTAATTTATAAGATTTGACGCTAAGCTTTTTTGTTGGTCTTAATTGCATTTGAATTCAAATAATAAAAACCCACGGTGATAGATCATGGCTATGGCGCTTTTCATGCCCATTATATGTCAAATTTGGAATGGATAGAGTTTCTTTAGCACTTGCATTACTCGTGACTAATAAAATGTGAACCTAACGTCTAACGGAATCAATCGTTACTTGCACATATTTACTAACTTAGAAAGCATCTACTCAGAAGGATCGACATGAATTAAAACATAACCAAATATTGACATTGCATGACTAGCAACAAATCCAACCCTTTATAAGTCACGATTAGGCTGGCATATTTGCCAACTGATAAATTAAGCACATAGGTCAGCGACACTATTTTGATTCGGGTTAATGGTGATTCTCAAGCTATGAATATGGCACATATTCACTAACTTAGAAAGCATTCTCTCATAAGGATCTACATGAATTAAAACCCAACCAAATATTGACATTGCATGATTGGCAAGTAATCTAACCCGTTTTGAGTCATTATTATGCTGGCATATGGTCCAACGTGATGAAATGTAAGTGCATAGGGTAGCGACAATATTCCGATTCAAGTAACCACTGATCCCAAGCTATGATTATGATTGATGCCCATCAAATTGATCATTCACAAAAGCAAAAACAAAAAAGACTCCATTGAAGCAAACTGATTAAAGACAGACCTCTGTTTGGGCAGTAATCTACTAAAAAGTTTCTTTGACAACAAATTTTGCTTTGCTAATTTTATGGTAAATCATTGATCCGATCAGAGTTCATTCCTTTTGTCAATATCAACATGGCAATGGTGAAAAGATGTCGTGTGCTGTCCTTTGGTAATATGCAAATCTGAGAAGACTAATTGAGTATTTATCGATGTTCTTGCTAATTCCTCAAGTTATTATTTCTTATCCAATTCCCTTTCATTGTAATGACTGGTTTTTCTTCTTCGTTTCTTCCTGCGTCGCAGGTAGAAGTGTCCTTCATGTACGTGACATGAGGATTGATGAATTCACAAGATATGCCAAATGTTGTTGTAATAAATAAGATTTTTGTATCAATTCTTATGGTAGAAATTAAGGTCATTTGGGTCTTTTTTGCGAACATTTGATAAAGATTAAGAGAGATTGTAATCCGGGAAATATATTTGCTATTTCTTTTGCTTTTTTCTCTAATGGGCTACTATCTCAGAGTTGCACATCTCTCTACTAAACAAGTTCTCAAAAAATCTCGACTACTTCATGGTCCGCAAAAAATAAAAAATCAAAAAAAGAATACCCAATCAAATTGAGATTGCAAATAAACTTTATATGTTGCTTCGTAGGACAGAGAGAGAGAGAGAGAGAGACTAGTCGCCATTATCATATTCTAAAGAAGACAGAGATAGGAGAAGCAAACGAGATCGCGGCGGTGACAACAACGTCCTCGTTTTGTACATTTTACAAGCTATCTACATTGCACCTACCATAAGATCTATCATCTTCCTTCTATCGACAAAATCGCCTATTTACACATTTAATATGACATAACTAAATGTCCAAAATAATAATAATAACAACAACACATTCTATGAAATATCTTCTTGTTTTATAATTAGTTAGTCTTCCTTAAATAGATAAATCACGTGTCGGTGAAGAAAGATCATGTGCTTTAAACTCCTTGTTCGAGCGAATAACGCTTCAATTACGAATTTCTTTAGCAGATAAAGTCACATAGCCAATCTAACGATGAAATGCGGATGTACGTGTACACATATGGTCGGATGAACGAGTCACGAAGTGGATCGCAATGTATGTTGTCGACATTTTCAATATGTATGAGTCCATATTTTCTTAAAATCATTTATAACTTATAATAAGTGAATGTAAAGTCTACGTCATATGAAAGGAAACATCACGGCAAACCAGCACGCTCCATGACAAGAACACGAACCTTCGCGTCATCGTACATAGGATAGGACGCGTTCTATACATCCAAACCGCCCGATCGACAACTGGAAATCAAATGTAACCTCGATTTGTATTATTGTTTATCATATAAATAACATTGTTAATCATATAATACAAAAAATGTCTAGGGCTTTAATCCCATCAGTCTTTATTCTTTTTCCAAAACAAACAAACGCAAGCAGCAGCATATTCTGAAGAGAGTAGGTGAATACATTGATGCGTCATTGCATGTATATACATCCAAACCAAGAACTTAGGGTTATTGACTAAGGACGGACCATTAGAAATGGATTGCTCACGCCATGGAAGAAAACGACTATAGTTATAGAAAAGAATTATTAAATTATTTCATGAAGTTTCTACCTTTGGACCTTTTCCAAATGGGTGCTTGTACGCTTTCGTCTCTAATTTTCTTGAGCGTAGAAGTCGATGATCTCCTCCACGTTCAGCTGGAACAGCGACGGACAGTCGTTGTGCATCAGCCACAGCATGTGCTCGAACAAGATCGCGTCGACGTCGACGAAGATCACCCTCTCCCTCCGCTTGCTCCGCTTCCTAGCGATGGGACCTCCTCCATCCCCTTTGCTCGTGACGGCGTTGATCAATACCCTGAACGGGTTCTCCTCGAGCACGTACGCGTCGACCAAGAACTCCCTCTTCTCCTTCCCCACCACCACAGTCACCAGGCCGTCGGGCTCACCCAGCCCGTCCTTGACGAGTTGCCGGTAGCCCAGCCGGGATCCAGAGCACCGCCGGCTCAATAGCGCCACCGGCAGCACCAAGCAATCCATTAACAATATCGCGCGAGTATAATTTGTGTGTAAGGGCAAGGAGCTTTGGAAGTTGAGATGAAGGAAGATATGTGCATGCAAAATCAACTTATATATATGGTACAGTTAGATAGATAGAGAGAGAGAGAGAGAGAGAGAGAGAGAGAGAGAGAGAGAGAGAGAGAGAGAGAGAGAGAGTTGAATGAGTAATGGTTAAAATGGGGTATCGTAGATTTGCAGGAAAATGCGTGTGGAGAGATGATTGTTGAATCGGGAGTGAAAGGGAAGGTCTCTTTCTTATGAGGAAGGAGATTATTTTAAAGAGTTTGACAAGGTCTCCTGTTGAATTGGCCAGCCAACGGCTAGTGATAGAGAGAGAGGGAGAGAGAGAGAGACTACGTAGGGCTGTGTCGCTTTTATGTAAATGTCTTTATGCAGATCGTTGGCCGAAGACGGGACGTTGGAGTAAAAACTAAGAATCTGCTGGAGAGGGAGGTAGGAATTGGAATAAGACTGCCGACTGGAGAGAGCCAGAGAGAGGACAAGTAGAGTACTTGATACATGAAATCATCAGTGTTGAAAATAACTCGTGGAATTACTAGTCCAAGACTCTTTAAGTGGACACCGCGAATCGCGTTCAATTCTGTTGAGATTATTGGTCTGGGACTCTAGGTCGACACAGCGAATCGCGTTCGGTTCCTCACTTTCGATGTGAATAGTCGATCTACCTTTGTAAGACCGATGACTAATGAGGTGGATTCAATCCTACCGGAGAAAAGATGACCTGAACTGCGAACCTTAGAAAACTAGCGATGCCCGAGGCAAAACTAGAGGCCCACATGAGTAGGTAGGTAGTAGTTGAAAGATCATATCGAAGTACTGTATAATCTACCCATCTCTTCACATGGCCCCTGCTTCGCTTACTTTGGAGTCACTAAACAAAGAAGCATCCTTCTGTGTTGGTGAGACATTAAACTCTTTGATTACTTCAGAGGACCCCAACGATGGCTTCCTCGCTTACAGTTCCTCACATTTTCGCATACATACTCATAAAGCGCGGAGGAGTAGAATGTCGCATGCGAGTCTATCAGTCACACTAGACAACCGAAACAAGCGTATATCCACAGATTCGAACTCGGAACTCCCACTAATCAGCTGACCGGCAATCCCTCGTTCTTTCAATCTCACACACTAATAACAGCATGTGCGCTGTGAGTCTTCAGTGCATCGTTATGTCTTCAGGACTGCACTAATCCAGGGACGAAATGTATATAACTGTTGATTCTCAGCTCGCCAAGGTTCTAGTGCTAAAGCTATGCACGAGGACAAATTACCAGAAGCCATCTCTGAAAGTACCTAGAGCAAGAAATTTAAAACTCTAACACAAATCCACCCATTGAATCAAGAAACCATAGATGGGAAGTAATTGCCAAAACAAGCAAAGAATCCTCAAGAAAATGCTTCCCATGCTATCAACTATCAACAACAGCACCATATTCCGATAAGATTCAAGTTAACAAACCCCAGTAACCAAGTTCAGAAAGAGAATAAAGACTAAACAAGAAATAAAATGGAGTCGACGAGAGGATGCCTCATTAAAATGTCATTTGGGTGACGCCTGCCAAGTCGGCCTAATGTATATATATCTGCGGCTACGATGAACAATGATCTCAAGTTGAGTAGTACCCAGAAAGCCGGTTATATCTCAGTTAACTTCTTCAGTGAGGAGTTTGGCCAGCCCACAGATGGTGGTACATCTGCATATTGTGGATCGGCTGGCTAGAGTTGTTGTAGAGTCCGGAAGGTCGGTGATTAATTGGGCTATTACCATTTTCATCAGATGATTCGCCCGATGCTCCATCAGAAGGGGGGCTCACTGCCGTCCCAGGTGCACCAAAGTTCAACATATGGGATTGTGGACCCTGTGGCGTCGGAGAAGCATCAGACTTGAGAGCGTTCGAAGATGCTTTCTTCGAACTTGCAAGGAAGCTTCCAACAATAACCTGTCACACAATTTGGAAAGAAATAATGAGAGAAATCTGTATCGACGACATGGTTTCACCATTGCAAGGCATTTTCTAAGTTTCGCCCCACCGAATTTTCAACAGGGTAGAAACTTCTCTCCTCCTCCTGATTCCTATCTAATGATCCAGGACATGGGAGAACAAATTTCCGACTTTTGTGGCCACAAAGAGGCAGTGATTAGTTCTTCAGGAACTGGTTAACTTTAAATTGTTCTTGTGAGACCTTTCCCCAAGAAACGCCCCTAATCTGGGATCAACAGATTACATAACAATAAAACACGGATGGGACTTTGGCTTTCCACTCTGAAACAATGCAATCTTTTCTTAAGATGTATGTATATTAACTTACCTGTACAGGTGTAGCGGCGATTAGCAATCCTGCAACCCCTCCACCCAGCACTCGACCATCTGGACCTGCTAATGACACACTTAATGCACCAGCTCTGCTACGACCAGTTTCATTTTCAGGACACAGGAAGGACCCAGATAGACAGATTATCTCAAATCGGCCCTGTAAGGTGAAAAGAGAGAAGGGAAAGTCATATGTGATGCTAAAAGAAATTTAAAGTCTGAGACGCATTCAGAATAGTTCAGAAAACATTCTACACTGGCCTAAGGGTTACTCGATCATTTAAGAGTGAACGGCACCAGTGACAATGAAGAAATTCTTACATCATAAATTGACATTGAAGTTGCTCTTTTGCAGCTTTAAAAGAAAATCCTTAAATCAGTATGAGATCATCAGTTATGATGCTTCAAAAGGCGCAAGGAATAAATTTTAGGCATCGACATGAAGAGTTGATAATATTGGCGAAAACAATGCTTGAAATACAAAGAATATTCACTTGAATTATCTAGTCAGGCAAATAGTGACTGGAACATCTATGGGTCTTAAAGCCAATGTACAGTCAGGAGACAAAACAACACGTTAACATTAGTCAGCAAGGGCTGCCCAATGAACTATAGAAACAACCAACAAAGTAACAAGTAGACTTGTCTAGCAAATCTGATTCAGAAAGACAACTATCAGTCATATGGAAGACCTCCCCCATGAAGACAGAGCAAGTACTCTTCCGATGAACTGAACAGAAACAGATGAAGATACTAGATAGCAAAGGCTCAGTCAAAACATCTAAAATTCTCAACACCGCTGCTTTAGACATCAAAGCCTGTCAGAAAAGTAAAGTGCATGTTGTGAACAAGCACCTCAAGAATTCCATAAGATGCGAGATCAGATGAAAATACATTATTGAAATGTTTGGAGCAGATAGTATTGACCTGCATCAACTGACTACGCAACGATGAACCACCAATCATTGCATCAACTGCTCTAAAGAGTCAGGTCAGCGATAGCACATATAACAGAAAGCAAACTTTAGAGAGAAAACATCGCTAAAAACCGGGTTCACTATATCGATCTCTCATCCTCACCTATTTTACTATTCAATGACTTTCACCAAAAACCCTACCTATTCACCATGGTCTCCCCCACTAGAGAATCATCAAATAGTGGTGAAGACATCACCAATCGTGAAACATTTCAACGTGCTGTACATCCTTGACTTTTCCAAATTTTTTACCTATTGATCTTATCAGCCACTGTCACATTTTTTCACCTATTTGCAAAAGAATTCCTATCCTTCCTCAAAAGTCCATCTACAGCATGCAAAAGTATGTTGCTCAATAGAGTGTTAACCATATCTAGAAATAAATCCATCAAATTGTCGTTCCCAACTGAACTAATATTAAATTCATAGGCACCCCGAAGTTATTTCCTAATTCAGATTCATTAGTATAATTTCAGACTTCTACTATTCTCCCATTATTTAGCGCATCACTACTCAAGGAACTTCTGTCTGAGGATTTTGGGTTCTCTCACCAACCCACTATTTACGCTCTTTCTCATCATTATCGAAGTAGCAACATCTCTAGTGTTTAAAGAGCTTTCATTAACCCATGTAAGCATTTAGCAACTAAAACAAATGTACTTTAAGTTTGTGTCTATATCATGCTACTTATGAAAGACTGGCTAGGCAAGAACACGAAGATCACCTCATATGTCACAGTCCCACCATTCATTGCTGGCTGCCTGAGGGTTACATTGCAGATAGCTCCACTTGCCGAGAGAATACAAATTGTACGAGGTCCTTGCAATGAAAAGGCCATAATTTTGGAGGCCACGTCCTGCAAATCCAGAAAAATATATCTGAGGAACAGAGTATCTCTAATAGACAGAGAACATCATTTTTGCCATCTAATAGCACCTATATGAAGGTACAAGAAGAAGGGTTCACTAGCGCATTCCCCCCACACATGAGAGAGAGAGAGAGAGAGAGAGAGAGAGACTACAACATGAGAACCTTATTTATGCCATCCGATAGAGCATCTAAATGAAGGTATCCATCACTCACAAGCGTGTCGGCACGTGCACGAGAGACGCATTTACTATGAAAAGAGGACCTCATTTATTCTAGTACCGTTGGAAACGATATATACCAATTTTAAGTTCATTGAAGATGATCTATAATGACCTCGCGTTCATATGATTAATCTTCCTTATTGGTACACGATCCATCAAATATAAGGTGTTGCATCTCATCCATGTGACTGGAAAAAGATACAATTGATCAATTATAAAGCAAGTATGCCTATCAGCATCCCTATGTAGACAAAAAAAAAAAAAAACAACTGGCTACTTCCATCTACAAAGTATATCGGAACTTCAGGCTTCTCAATCAAGCTAATCACCTTCATTCATCTAAGACTTCGAATCGAAAAACCAGGATAAACGTTGAACTAAAGAAACACTCTTCGCCCAAGACACAGTTGTCAAGAAACTCCAGAACAATCAGTATTGCATCAGCACAAAAAAGAAAAACACGAGACAAAAATCACTGTTTGTCGAGCTTAGAACTGCACACAAACAAGAACACCCAAAAACTACACACATTAGAACCCTAATGCAGCTGAAATTCAGTGACCACATTCTTCTCCATTCAGAACCATCCAAACCAAAAACGAAAAAAAATCCACATACCTCACCAGCGTCGACATGGATCACATGCGGAGTAAAACCAACTCCACCAGCTCCTGCCACCATGAAAACAAAACTCAGCTCAACGTTGGTCAAAATCACACCTTTACATTTGCAAACCCCAGAACATAAAGGAAATGCTCAACCCAAGCGACTCACACAATCCACCCAAAACTGCAAAAGAAGAAAAGCTTCGTCTCTATGAAAAAAAAAAAATCACCTAAAGCATCCATTTGCTTCTTCCCCAGCCCAGGCGGCCTCCCCCTGTGCTTCTTGGCCTGCTGCTCAGACGAGCCCGTGAGGTTCCCATCACCTCCGCCGCCACTGGTTCCACCGCCATGGTGGTGGTGGTGGTGGTGATCCCCGCCAGAGGAGGAGTGCACTGAAGTGGGTCCGAGCCCTAGGGCAATGTTGCCCTCGGGAGTGTACTTCCTGGGCCTCCCACGCTTCTTCTTGGCCGGCTCGATGGAGAAACCGCCCGCCCTCAGCCCCACCTGCGACGATCCGTCGTAAATGCCGCCGGCATTATTGAGCGAATCCATCCCCTCCGTCTGCTGCTGCGGCTGCTGCGGCGGGGGCGGCGGCGGCGGCCCCCCGGAGCCCACCATGGAGTTGAAGGGGAACCGGTGCTGCATCATGACCGCCGACGAATTGGGGTTGATCAGGTGCTGCGGCGGCTGCTGCTGCTGCTGCTGCTGCGACCCCTGCTGTGGGCCGCCGGCGGAGTAGGAGCCGGCGGAGACCATCCCCGGTGGCGGTGGCGCGTCCCTCGAGTCCATCCCGCTCGCGGGTTGAATTCCTTGATCTGCGAAAGCTCACCCCTTTTTGGCTTCTTTGCCCCTGTTGGGCGGGGGGGGGGGGGTCGGTTCCTCGGGTGGCTTAAAGGTGAGATTTTTATTGTTGGGAAGCGAAGAGAGGGAAATGAGAAGCGTGAATGCAGGTGAGGTTTTGGTTTTGGTTTTGTTTTTGTTTTCTGTAACTCTGAAACTCTCTCTTTTTCCCCTCTTTTTTTTTTATATATAATCGAAGTTTCAAAGTGTAGAGACAGAGAGAGAGACCCTACTTTGGATGTGGAGAGAGAGAGAGAGGGGGACAGAGATGGGGCTGCTTATATAGTGAGGGGGAGGCCATGGTGAATAGGTAGGGTTTTAAATATTTTGCCAATCTGGGGGGTTTTGGTGTGGATTTTCTTGTGGGGATTTGGCCCTTCAATCCAATGGCAAATCAGATCCCATTTGCTGTTCAATACCCAACATTGCCGTTGTTTAGGGCCATGGGGAGAGGGGGCAATGCTCAAAATCCATATCTTGGGGCATTGCTTGTATGAACACAAAAAAAGTATCGTATGCATCAAGCTCGTATCGGGCTTGGTCGTGAACCGTCGTCGTTGGCTTTTTCAGTTTCGTCCTCGCCCAACGTGACCTGTTCGGGAGAAAATTTGCGTGGGTCGAACCCTCAAGGGCCGTTGAATTCATATTTGGGAACATCTGCGTGCGTCGGACTCGATCGTGGATGATCGTTCGTTAGTTTCGGTTTTTTTGCCCGTTTGGAAAGATTTGCATGCATCGAATTCGTATCGGGGTCAATGATTAAGGACCGTTAATTTCGGTTTTTCTTCGTTCGAAATGGTTTATTTGGAAAGATTCTGCATGCGCCGAACTCGTACGTGCTCAATAATTACAGGCCGTTAATTTCAGTTTTTGCCTCTTTGGAAAAATTTTGCGTGCGTCGAACTCGTGCGTGCTCAATCATTAACGATCCATAATTTCGATTTTTCCTCGTTTGACGGCACTTATTTGCATTATAATTTTGCATGCTACAAACTTGTACGTGCTCAATTGTCGAAAAAATTTGCAATTTTAATTTTTTCCAATTTGATATCGCTTATACGGAGAAATTTTGTATGCGTCGAACTTGTAAGTGCTCGATAGATAAGGATAATTAATTCCTCATTTGGCATCGCTTATGGAAAAACTTCATATGCATCGAATTCTAGCGTGCTCAAGAGGTAAAGACGGTTTTTCCTCGTTCGACATGGCTTATTTAGAAAAATTTGTATGCATCCAACTCATGTGTGCTCAATCATTGGCGATTTCTAATTTCAGTTTTTCCTTGTTCGACGTAACTAATTTGGAAAATACTTTTGCATGCTACGAACCTGTTACATGCTCGATTGTTAATGAATCATCAATTTCAATTTTTCCGCATTTGATATAGCTTATATGGAAAAATTTTCGTATGTGTAGAATTGGTGATAAGTGCTCAATGAATAAAGAGGATAATTCAATTTTCCCTTCTTCAACGTCGCTTATATGGAAAATTTTTTTTTGACAAATTCTAGAATACACGCTTTATGAGTAGGAATTCTTAAACTTTTCGTTGTATTCCATGTTAGACATGGTCCATCCAATGATTCACACGCTGTAGACATACCAATTACGTGAAATTTGGTCTCATCGACTCGGATACCATTTATGAAAAATCGAAATAGTTAACTTTTTTTTTTGTGGGAAAGAAAAATCGAAATAGTTACTGGAAAAATCTAAAAGGTTACTTGTTTTTTAGTTGGATACTATACTTGGGTGGGATATGTCCCTTTTTGGCCTAATTGCTAGTTTGGATTATCCCAAAGTTCACAATGTAATAATTGCTGTCAAACTGCTCATTATAGAAAGAGTATCTAGAATGAACATTAATGAGCAAGATCTGATCTCTTCGGGTATAACTAGGAAGAACATTAATAGATAGCCATATTTTCCCATATGCAAGATATAATGGTATTATTTTGAAAAATCGAAATGGTTGGTTGTTTTGCAGTTGGATACTATACTTGGGAGGCAGTGCCCCTTTTTGGTCTAATTGCTAGTTTGGGTTTTTTTTTTTATAAGGATGACGATGTAATAATTGCTGTCAAATTGCTCACTATGGAAAGATTATATAGAAAGAGCATTAACTGGAAAGTTGTTTATCTCTTGGATGAAGTAAAGCCTAAAGAGAGAGCATGAGAGGAGAAATGAGCAATTCTAGAGAACTCGAATGCCAGCTCTCGAATGCCAGGTCGGATATTGCTTAGTGAGTGTTGTTTATAGTCACAAGCCGTAACTTTTTGCCACATCCCAATATGAATCAGATACTTAGGTCTTTTTCACGTACCTATAGGTATCTGTTAGTGATAGACCACGTCAATATTATAAGTACTAAATTATTAAGAAAATACGAAATTTGTAGACTCTTGTGAAAGACGATGTCATCTCTCCACACAACCAATCGCAAAGTATAAGGATACTGTGGGTGGCTAACAATTTTGGGAGTGAAAGACTATAAAATGCACGGCTCTTACTCTATTTCAAAAATATTTTCTTAAAAATAATTCGCTTGCATCGCTTATAAAAATAAATGAACAAAAAGAATTTTCATCATCCACGAAAATATTTAGATATAAATTATTATCGATAATATTTTTTATCGATTAATTATTTCAAACAATCATTTTTGAGAAAATAGTTATTTTATTCGATTTTTCGGTAATTTTTTCTTTTATTGTTTTGGAGATTCCTAGCTGCATCTCAAGTCCCATCCACATCTGTGTATATACTATTTAATCAGGGCAGGGAACTGGAGGAGGGAGGAGGCAGGTAAAAAAAAGTTGAATCCAAAGCACCGATCCTGCCCCTAATGACTGCATAAAGGCACCATAAGTCAAACTTGTCATGCCAAATTCAAACATAAAGGTAACACCTTTTGGCCTTCCCCCCAATCACCCCTTTTTCAAGATTCTGGTTTGCATCCAGACGAGGGGGACCCAACACGCCCCACTTTTCCCCTCCTGTTTCGCAAGAACGAAATGTGGACCAACTGAGGCCCAAGAACCAAAGCTTTGGTACTAAATACCGTGTCAGCTCTCTTCACAGAGAGAGAAAGAGAGAGAGAGAGAGATTCCATCATGTGAAAAGATCAGCATGTAGGAGAAAGGAGATGGAAAGAACTACTACAGGAACTTCAGGAAACAACGTGACCACACTAAAGCCATATGCAAGTGAGCGGAAGATGAGACGTCGACAAATGACACAACCGATTCTCGTCGCTTACATGAATAAATCAAATGTACAATTCCAAGCTCCCAGAAGTTGATAGGACCTGACCTAAACGTGCAATTCGAAACGTCCCTGTGAATGAAAGATAAAGCCTTTACAACCACGAATTAAGAATAGTAACCATATTTGACAGGCTCATATTTGAAAAATGATAAATTCCTCCGCAAGACAATGGAGCAGAATGCGAGCGACACCGCGTTCATCTGCTCGAGGATAACCAAGGTTTCCACTCCTAATGGCACTGAACTTGACAATTTCTCATAATTTCAGCTGCTACTCCGATGCTTATGAGCTCCAAGGCGGCAATACAAATGCTTAGCACCTAATCTCATAAGACCCTGCTTTTGTTATGTAGCGGACCCATTCGACCGTGTTGTATCCGCTCTTTTCCCACACCTGCGGCGAAGATGATGTTAGCAACCAACCCTGGTCACACTGAAAAAGGTATGTACATCATACACAAGGCAACAATACCTTCAGGAAGCGGACACGTAATCCAGATGCCGTGAACATTGGAACCTGCAAGCAATATTGATGAGATCACTAGAGAACAGGGGGGATGATGGAAGACACGGCAGTGCATGTCAAAATACACATATCTGAGCCATGAGATTGCAAGCTTCAAAACAAACTATATTTAGTTGAAGACTTCATTTTCAACTATTGTTTAGGCCAAGCCAGACTGCCATAATTACAGCGGGCAAACTCAAGTTGACAGACGAATGGACAGTGACAAACAAGCCAAAGAACAAAACAAAGACTTTAATATCTCGAGTTCTTTTTTAAGATTTTGGCCCCATTACAAAACAAAAGGCTAAATAAGAGATATATATATCTGGAACCAGCAGGTGGGCAATTGTAATTCTCTAAAGGATTTATTGGAGGAAAAACCGCCTAAGCACACGGATTGCAACATGGAAGGATACTCAACAAAAGCACTGCTAGTGGATAAGGGAAGGAGCAATCAAGCTCAACGAAGGACAGGCAAAATCAGTGGTGCAGGATATTAGCACCCCTGAAATGAGATACGAAATTTGTCAAATAAGCAACAAACCTTTCATCCCTTATGGCCAAAAAAGTATTGAGAACTTCTTCGCTCACCAGTAAATTTGGTGAAGAAATGGCACCACAAAGAGTGAATTTTACACTATAGAGACTTTAGAAAAGTTTATCCACTCATATTATCAATCCTCCAGACAGAAAATTACTAATCATGCATTAATCTTAAATATTCAGCTAAGGAAGAGAAAAAAAAAAAACGAAGAGCAGGAAGTTCAACTTTGGAGAAGCGTAATTTTATGAAAAAAGGAACCATATCCTATAGATTTGATTTAATGGCACTAAATATCAGTAGTTTTTTCACCTGAAACTCCATCTGAATTGGTGGCCTTGTCCAAGATTTCTTTTCTCCCATTGTTGATATTAACTCAACTTCTGCACTCATAGTCGGTTCCGTTTGTCCAGGGAACTTTCTTATCCTGAGGAGCCACAAGACATAATGAGTATGAGTTTCTCAACCAAGCATAATCTAAAGAGAGAACCTTTTTGTCTGAGCATAAGAAACACATGAGTTAATGAACGGTACGTTAATAACTTAGAATAAATTCTATTTTAGGGTTGTATCTACTATTTAGTATGGCAACAGAGTAAGAAACACGTGAGTTAAGAGTGTACATTAATAAATTCTATTTTCAAGAAGATGTCTTTTAACCTCACCAATCACCAAATAGGAAGAAAGAATACCACGTGTTAATAATTTATTTGTACATTAACTTTAATTAAAAAACTAAAATTATCTTGGTTTTTGGTAACCAGCGCATGCCCATTTGGGTTTTGTATTTTAGTTTTTTAGTTTATAGTTAATGTACAAATAAATTATTAACATGTGGCATTCTTTCTTCCTCTTTGGTGATTAATGAGGTTAAAAGGCATCTTCTAGAAAATAGAATTTATTAATGTACACTCTTTACTCATATGTTTCTTACTTTGTCGCCATACTAAATATAAGATACAACCTTTACCAAAAAAAAAAAAATATAAGATACAACCCCAAAATAGCATTTATTCTAAGTTATTCTAAGTCCAACCATTCTACAAACAAGACCTTTTTTGTACTCCAGTTACTTATGACACAACCAAACAATCAAAATAAGAGCCTATCAATCTTATATCATGTGCTTTCATGAAGCGGTAAGGGACTTGGGAGAACAACAATGTCCCATCATGGACTCAAAATGGAAGTAGGTAATTACAGCTAGACCATATGCTGGAAAGGAGAAACCAGAACAAATTCCAAATTATATAATCCTCTGAGTTAACATACTCACTTCCAAACCAAGCAATCAATAGCAGCATTATACTTCGCTCGTCCTGATGTCACCTGGAAACTGGTCTTCGCAGTTTGCTTTGGTACAGGAACTTTAATGACAACCCCAAGAGCAAACATTTTTGGGCCGAAAACACTCTTTACCTGGAGATTAGCACAGGTGAGAAAACCAAATGACCGTAGACAAGGCATAATCACTTTGCTTCACTAATAATCATTACTAACCTTGACATTTACTTCCATTCTTGTTCGCCCGAGTTCCTTTATCGTCGGCAACACTCGAAATGGAAGATTAACACCCTCCGTTATTCGATACCTACAGAATATAAGATGAATCAATCAAAAGAACGCATGATTACTAGCATTAAAGTACTTATACATAGAATGAATGGTAACAACCAAAAAAGGCAATTATTTGTATTGTTCAAACAATAAATAGATGATGCAAAAGAGGAAATCACAAGCTTACTTCATCAGTTCAAATTCACCATCAGGAGGCACAAAGCTAACAGTTTTTTCTGAGTTAAACCTCGTCAAATTTACACATTGGTGGAATGTGACATCATCGAGCTCGATAGTTTTACCACTGCAAAAACATTCGAGTGTCATAGACGAGAACACCAAAACAAACATATAATAGCACAAATAATTAGTGAAAACTTAAAGGCCAAAATCTAACGAGCATAAAAACACAATGCCGGAAGGAAAATGATTGCTTAAATGAGCTGGGAATGAACTGGTATTAGCAAGGTCACACGCAATGTGCATTTCAATGCAAAAGCAACTTAAACATCATCAAGCACAAAAAGCAAGAGTCTTTTGATTTGAATAAACTTATGGGTGACAGACTACCTTTTAATAGGACGAGATTTAATCTGCGACTCTTTCTCAAGGCCAATTTTATCATTTAAACCCAACTTCAGATCAGGCATTCCAGAGAGAAAGCACTTCATAAGAATCTTCCCCGTCACATCACAACGCAGGACACTTCCTGTATTTACCAATTTGTGGTGAGCAACAAAAGAAATCAATATGGTACTTTTGATCCAAAATATTGGACCTACCTTTTGAAGACATAAGAAGATTTACACTTTCCACGATATCAAGAAAAACCTGTAGAAATGAAGTTCGTGATCACATAACATGGTGATATCATGGATAAGAGCCAAAGGACAATCTCAAAGTCACCTCATTCTTCTTGTAAACCAGCCCTTCCCTCCGCCAACCAACAGCACCAGTGACTTGTAAGGTAGCATTTGGCACAGGTTTATCTGAAGGCTGTTAAACTCGTAGGAGATAGCACAATTAGAAATTACCAAAGAAGAAGAAGAAGAAGAAGAAGAATCATTCAGAGAACACTTTGGAAAACCATGTCAGGATTAATTTAAGCAATAAGATACCAACCTTGGAAGAAAATGGCGAGCGGACTCCTTCTTGAGTAATGTACAGCTTCAGGATTTCAGGGGAAAGATTTTGAGGATAACCGAAGTCCATGATCTCTGAAATGAATGTTATGATGAGGAATGTCAATAATCCATTCCTGTACTGCAGATTCTAAATAATATTCTAAAGAGAACTATCTCGCCGATTTCGCAGCTCTACAGAAAACATCTAGCTAGCAGGCACCCCAAGCACATGCATGTGAGCTCCAAACGATCTTCACACTTTGAGAAACAACTAAAACTAAACTACATAGAATACACATGCTTAAATATATACTCCTAAGAATTCTCTATTCATGCTTTCTCGCTTTGCTTTAAAGCAGTATAGTCAGCCATCCTACATCCAACCATCCCCACCCTGAATAACCGATCAATATAGGCTCATGTCCTGCTTTAAGTTAGCTACTGCATTTCGCGTCCTCTTAAAACTCATCAAAACTTCTGTTTTAGAAAGGGGAAAACTCATGTGGTTGTCGTATTAGCAAGACATGAGAGTCTACTATCATACATACTGCATCATGACAATTGATCCACATGAACAGTAGTGGTATGAGGTAAAGTAGGCATATCTCTAGAAACTTTTATTCTCGCTTGCTCCTCCAGGACAAAAACTAGAATCTTGTCAACCACAAAGGACCTTTTGCCCAGGATTATTTACAATATTCTACCTTATCGCAACCGGAAACAAACAATTAATTAATTCAAGCCTCTAACTTACCATCCAAAAGCTCATAAATGAGAACAAAATTATTACGAATAGCATCTTCATCAAAGGATCCTCCAAAATAAGATTTGAAAAGGGAAACGGCCTGCAAGAAAGAGAAATTGTATCAGGCATTCATAGCTATCCATTCCCTTGAAGTATGATTGCACCACAATTACATCATTCATCCTAACCCTCCTATACTTCCACAATCATGTATATTTTCTGATGCATGCAGCAGTTATGGTTCTGCTTCTGCGAAAAAAATTATAATGCTTGAAGAAAGTCCTGAGCAGTCTATCCACATCTCCATTGAGACCACAGATAATAAAAGTCAACAGCTAATGAGAGCACAAACTTCAACTATCAAAACAGAAGCGGGTGCAACTTGTCCTAACAATGACTTAGCAGCAATGGTGAAATTTCACAATGAGACCAAACAAGTAATCTATGAACTAAACAGGAATTCAGGATTTGCTAACTTCAAAAGAGGATGACATACTGTGGAAGAAGCTTACCTCCACAACGAATTTAAAAGCACAAGCTACATTAGCATTGCTGCTGACAACTATCACAATGTAGACATTGCTAATTCTCATGTAAAAGAATGAGCAACCACCAATCTGGCGCACGGGGCAGGTACCGAGCTCTTTTGTCTGCATGATGTGCATGCGGAAAGCATCCACCATATTTCCCCTAAAAGAAATTACTCATCAGAATAATAGGAGAGATCAAGATAGATAAGACAGAAACAGTGGTAAGGAGTTTTGCGGCGAACAACTAGAGGGTCTATTATTGGAAAGTGTTATCTTGAGTTAACTAAAGGAATGCAAGGGTTTACATGACGACAACCGATAAAATGAATAATACATTGGCCCGATTGATATGCACGGGTAACCTCCATCCAAATTACATTCGTAAAAAAGCTACGATCAAAGGCCATAAAGCTGTCAAGTTGCATATACACTATATACATAGATCACAACAAAACCATTGGCAGCAGCACCTCCTACAATTTCATGCCGGTCGCAATCCTCTAAGCAGTTTAAATACGGATCAAATAGCTGCAAAAGTACATCCTATCAAAGAAACACTACACCGATGCACCGCACACAGCACCATCCAATTCTCACGTCTTTGCTACCTTCCGAACACCTAACCCCGATTAAAGACAGGCCCCTGTGGATCGCCCGGTAACCAGAACCATCCCTAATTCTCAAGCTCTAGCAAACAAAACTCACGGTAGGCAGCTCAACTAACAGCAAACAACAACAACAGCACAAACCGTAACGATCTCCATCCAGAAACTACGACTCCACTAAGCTCCCCAAAAAGGGGATCCGCACTTCGCTCATCGGAAGAGACGAGGGGAACAATCGACCTAGCTAACCAGGAATCAGCGGGATCGGAGTCAAAATTCAGCTACCGCGTAACGTCAACGAAGCAGGCAGCGGAGGGGGACTGTTACCCGACATCGTCGCGGTAGAGGCGGTTGATGAGGACGTCGCCGCGGAGGTTCAGGAAGTAGATGGCCGAAGCAGCCACCGGCATCGTCGCCGATCCTCCCCACCCGCCCCACAACCACACCCCCGACGATCAGATCAATCGAAGGACCCCCCAACCCTTCTTCCCCGCCGCCGCCGGATTCGGAGATCTGCGGGAACTTTCGCCGGAGGCTCGCGAGCGATTTACTGCATTTGAAATTTCTCAACGGCGATGGAGGATGCGGGATTGAATGAATTCGGGGTGAGAGAGAGAGTGATGGAATGAATTTGGGGGAAATGGCGAGGAGCTGCGGTCAGCGAAATCGGGTCGCTTTGGCTTTGTTGAATCTGCTTCTCACGTGACGCGAGGCTGCCGGCACGTGCTCTTCTTCTTTGCTTTCCTTTTCCCCTCTCGATTCTATCTAAAAATGATCGTTTATATCGCGTAAAATACTTAGTTAATAGAAAATATTTCCATTATTGACATTTGTTCATTCATTTCGCAAGCAATACAAGCTATTTTTTTTTAGGAAAATATTTTCTAAATCATTCATTTTCCATGCAACAAATACACTTAGGTTACATTTGGTTGTATGGATTTTTAACCCAGATAAAACGAGAAATTGAGTGGGTTTGCTATATTCTATCAACTATTTTGGGATACTTTCATATTCTATTTTGTCCATTGTTTGGTATGAAGGGCATATCGATATAAATGTATATAAAAATGCACGAATTGAGATCGTAAGAATCTCTTATGATTCACTGTTAAACAAACCACAAATGCACAAACTTAGATAACTTCCATCAATCAATTCATAATTATTTTACGATCGACATCAATTTGACAATGACAAGAAATGTAAGTGACCTATAGATAGATCAACCAACGAACACCAAATCTTGCAAAAGAGAGAAAACATGATTATTCGTTTTTGTGATTCCGAAAAGTACAGTACTTTGAGTCTCTCGCTACTTTTGTAAAACTTCAATATGAAACACAAAATTACGGAAAAGATGAGTTACAACTCCTTTGCTGCTTTCGTGGACTTATGGTATAATTTAGAGAGTTACGGAGGAAAAGGGATTTCGACTCTTTCTTCATTTTTCATGTAGTTTTGATGTGAACAAAGAACGACGGAGGAGCTATGAAGCTTCAATATATGAAGAAGACAGAGACGGAGTGAATTAAGAAGATCCGTTTCAAGTTTGCATTTGTTTATTTAAAACGGAAGTTCTTCTACTTCATTTTCATTTACTTATTTTTTAAATTATTTTTCCTCCTTTTATTTCTTCTTCATTCCTTCCATCATTCCTTAATAAAATTCGATTAAATATTAAATCATATTTTCGACCAAAAAAATAGTAAATCATACTAATATGCCTGAAATTTGTAATAAACATAGAAATTTGTAATAAACATAGATACTGGATAGATATATATATGTTCCGACCAAAAAAAAAAAGAATTGATATATATATAGAATAGAACAAAATTCAAATATATAAATAAATAAATAAATAAATAACAAAAAATTCTATATCTTTTTTTTTGTTATTTTGAATTTTCTTTTCATATTAGACACAAAATATTATTTTATATTTAATTATTATTTTAATTTAGAAGTTTGTTATTCGAGAAAAATAGCTTTTTTGCCATGGATATAAGAAATTCTTTCCACCTTTATCTCACTTCTCCCATGGGATATTTTTATTCGAGTAGGAATCATATACGGGATATGATAACTTTTATCGAATCCCGACTTTTATCCTAGCTACTAAATGTAGCCTTAAATGAAAATTAAATAGGTTATGGGATGCATGATCTTCTTTGGAAAAAAAAATCCAGCCTGAAGAAGAGAAATGTACTTGCTATAAATCAATCAAATGTTATTAGATGAAATCAACAACAAAATATAAAATACTCGACAAATCCCACCATTTTTTTTCGTCCAAAGTATAAATCATATTGATTCTAGGGTAAAAGCCATAAAAAAAAACTCCAAATTTTGCACATTGTGACATATTTACCCAAATTTTTTTTATGGCATCAAAAATTTCAAACTTGTAACCATGTGACTTATTTACTCAGAATTTTACTCATGTGACACATTTTTCCTAAACTTTTTTGTGACACAAAAAAGCTTTGACTTGTATCAATGTGACATATTTATCTCAAATTTATTTTTTATGACACCAAAAGTCCTAAACTTAGACCCACGCCACACATTTATCCTCCTTCAAGATTTTTTTTTTCTTTTTTACTTTTTTCCTTCCTCCTTTGTGTTCGTTACTGCCTTGGCCACCGCTCTCACCGTCGCCAAACCAAAGAAGAAAACGAAGGAGGAAGCTAAAAAAAAGGGAAAAAAATGAGAAAAGAAAACATACAATGAGTTGACATTTTTGCCACGTGAGTGCTGCATCTGCATTGTTTTCTTTTTGTTGTCCATGTAAGCGGACACATAAGGTTTTTAGCGGCGTTCATTAACGGTTTTGACGAAGGGTAAATATGTTATACGAATACAGGCTTGGGGTAAATGCGTCACACGGATACAAATTTGAAATTTTTGGTATCACATAAATAAGTTTAGCGTAAATGTGTCTTAGGAATACAAGTTTTGGGTTTATAGTGTTACAAAAAAATTTAAGTTAAATGTGTTGCAATGAACATAATTTGGCGCTTTTTTAGCTTTTTCCTTTGATTTTATATAATGAAATCAATCTACCGTTCCTTGCTCTGCCCAAGAAACCCTATGGGCAATATTCTACACATCTTTTGCCTCGACGAAACACCAACCATGTCAATAACTAGGTTTTGTTTGTTTCGCGAAAAATGAATAATTTAAAATGATGGTTCATATCACTATAAATATTTAGTTAATGAAAAATATTTTAATTATCAATAACAATTTATGTCTAAATATTTTTATGGACGATCAAAATATTTTTCATTCATTTATTTTTATAAAGTGATGCAAGTGATTATTTTTAAGAAAATATTTTTTAAATCATTCATTTTTCGCGATACAATGAAGCCTAAATAAGAAAATTCATGTGAATACAAATGGAGCCTATCATCCTCATGCGGAGAAAAAGGGATTTAAGTTGTTGTCATAAGTATGCAAAATGTAGTCATATTTCCTATTCAAAAAGATTTTTAAATAGAAGTGGATACTCGATAGAAATGGATGGATATGTATGATCTCTTCTCACCAACACCACATAACCAATCCAATAGCATAAGAGAATTAATGCAACTGATGGTATTTAGTGATAAAATTTTTTGGTAATTATGAAAAAATTTAGCATGAGAGAAGGGTTAGTATCTCGAAAAACCTCAAACTGGTACACCTGTGACAAATTTACCCCAAACAAAATTTTGACCACCCAAAATCCCAAACTGGTACACTTATGACAAATTTACCCCATGTTAATTTCCGTTAAACTGACTTAATATCACGGAAAAATACAAACCGGTACATCTATGACTAATGAAGGGTGAAATCCCAAACCGGTGCACCTATCAACTTGCAACATGTCATCCAACTCAGTAATTTGATAGTAAAATTTTAACGGAAACTAATGGAAAGTAAAATTGTCACAGGTGTATCAGTTTGGAGTAAATTTGTCACAAGCGTACCAATATGGATTTTTTGTGATGTTAACCCAAAAAAAGAACGAGGAATGAAAATGAATGGATAGAGAAAAGAGAATTCTCTCGTTATCATTTCAGCCTCGCTGTTTCGCTAATTAATATCATATACAACAGAACGGAACAAGAAAATTCACGATACCGATCTTCCATAGTGAAAAAAGGTTAAAAAGTTGTGTGTCAAGTAAAGATGTGCAAAGGAACCAGGAACCGCCCAGATCGCTCGAAATCGAATTAGATTGGCCGAAATTGGAGGTTTTCATGGGGACCAATCAGGTTCCCAGTTCCCGTTCACCCGGATCGAACCAACATATGAATATATATTTTTAAAAAATTTCACCCTCAATTATAACTTCCTAGAAGATTTAGCAGCAATTTGTGTCAATTGAAATACGTTGGCCTTCTCTGGCATATCCTTCAAAATTTAAGGACTGATAAAACCAGAAGAGCATTAAATGTCAATTGCAATACATAAGTGCTCATCATTTGAACATCGAGTAGAGTTTCATTTCTTAGTCCGTCTAGACTTTGTTTCAAGGACGAAGGAAATCATATGTTGTTTAGGCTCGTGTGAGATTAGCGATTAATTTGATTTTCATATACCAATTAAAAGGCATTTGTCATTAAGATTTTCAAGGTACAACCATCAATAGGTAAGGTTATGTTTCCTTGATCAATCAAATACCGAACAAACCGGTTTACACCAATCTTAGCTATAAATCAGTGTGTGTATATCCTTTTCCCTTGCAAATAAGTACCAATATAGAAACTAAGTTCACTATGATATTGATTGAAAGGATTGGGGATTGGTTCCATGGACCCACCCGGTACCGATACCAACTTTTCGGAACTGATCCTTCGGGAACTGCCCATCCGGACCACGCTCATCCCTAGTGTCAAGCACGCAAAATTTATTAAATTTTGGTAAAAAAAGGAAAACGTGGGATTAAATTGGATGGACAGATTAAAAAAGAAAAAAAAATTTCATCTGATTATTTTCTCCAATGAGAAAAGCGAGAAAAGAAAGAAAAAGCAAAAAAAAAAGAGGGAAATTATCAAATAAGGACCCAAAGTGGGTGCCTTTTTTAAAAAAAAGACCTCAAGTGGACAAGGTATCAATTAAGGACCAAAAGTGTCAAACTAGTATCAAATAAGGACCTGAGCTTGCCGGCCGGCCAAATATTCTCCGGCTGGCGACCGGCCGACATTTCCAGCACAGGAATAGGGCCAGAGCTGAGGCCGGCGAGAGCTCGAGCTCGCCGGCCATCTGGGCGAGCTCTACCCAGATCTGGGCGAGCTCGAGCTCGCCGGCCATGGCGAGCTCCGCCCAGATCTAGGCGAGCTCGAGGAGGCCGGCCTCGCCCGGATCGCGTAGTCGAGGGCCTTGGCGGGGCCGTCGCCGGAGGCAATGGTGTCGCGCGCGAGCTTGAGGAGGAAGGGCCCGAGATCCGGGTTGTCGAGGGCCGTATCGGGCGGGGCGGGGCTGGCGGCGGAGCCCGGGGACTCCGGCGGGGGCTTCCGTGGGGAGAACTTGGAGCGGGAAGGGGAGGGGGAGGGTGCCATGGCCGGCGAGCTCGAGCTCGCTGAGACCGGAGGGAGCTCGAGCTCGCTGGCCATCTGGGCGAGCTCGGCCGGCGAGCTCTGCCCAGATCTGGGCGAGCTCCGCTCTCGCCGGCCCGCGGCCCATGGCGGTAGGCATGAGCTCGAGCTCGCCCGGATGCGGGCGGAGCTCGCCATGGCCCGACGAGCTCGAGCTCGCCCGGATCCGGGCGAGCTCGCCGGCGCCCGAGATGGCCGGCCCGGCTCGAGCTCGCCCGGATACGGACGGAGCTCGCCGGTGAGCTCGCCTAGATGGCCGCGAGCTCGAGCCCTCGCCCTCCGCCGGCGAGGGTCGCCCTCGCCCGCCCAGCCCAGTCGAGGGTGACCCTCGCCGGCGTCGGGCGAGGGCAGCCTCCGCCTGAGGCCGGCGACCTCCACCGGCCCCGGCTATGGCCGGCGGAGGAAGAGAAAAAAAAAAGAAAAAGAAAAAAAACAGAGATGAAATGTCTTGTTCCGTAGGAATAATAAGCATGCTCTTCGCCGGGCGAGATTTGACCGGCCGGCGAACTCAGACCCTTACCTGAGATAAATTGAGTACTTCGGGCTCTTATTTGAGACTGATTGAGCACTTCAGATCCTTATTTGACACTATATTTATTTTGGGTCCTCTTTTGAGAAAAGGACCCACTTGGGTCCTTAATTGGAATTTCCCCAAAAAAAGAAGGAGGAGAAAATAACAAGAATCCCTCACCATCTTCTCCTTCTCCTTCTTCTTCTTCCCAGGATGAACAGAATTCTACGAAATCCTCCGTATATTCCGCCAGAACTCCCAAGCTCAACCTCCATCCACCCGCTCTGCCGCTCGCCCCCACCGACCGTATCGCCCTCTTCCTCATGATCTGACGCCGGATTCACCGCAGGCGCAGAAAGCAAATGGGGTTGTTCCGGCGGATAGCGGGGTTCCTAGGTTTCGGCCGCGACGAAGTCAACAACAAGGACGACGAGGATCATCAACGGCAGCACCGGGGCGACGGGGAAGGGCGCGACGACGAGGAAGGAGCGGACGATCCCCCGAATGCGGCCGGCCGGAGTAGGAACTATCAGGAGACCGGCCTCCCCCGCCGGGGCTTCAGCGTCCCGGTCAAGGTCCCCGTCGACCGGCCCGGCCTCGGCCCCGTCCTTGTCCCCTGCGATTCCGGCGACGGCGGAGTTCAGGTCATCTCTCGTTTTTCTCGATCTGGGTCGGCTTCTTTCCTCGTTTGTCGGAGCTTCGGAGGCTTAGGCTCGACTTTATAGTACCCGCGTGTGGTCTGTGCTGCTTATAAGATCTCTTTCAGCTAAATTGTGGTGTTTCGAGCTAGGGCGGGGCGACATTATCTTGTGCTCGTTCCCTGGCACCAACCGGGGCTCATTGGACTTGGATTTGTCTTGAAGCAAATGCAGATTTGCTATTGAAATTGACATGCGGAGTAACTGGGTCAAGATGTTAGTCTTCGAAAGATGGAAGTAACATACGTCTTCATAAGATGTAGGAACTCCATTTTACTGGGAGCTGATTAGCTTGTAGGAGCTTGCCAGGAGAATTTCTGGATACCCGCAAAGACAGAACTGACCTTCTTTTGATTATGTAGAGTTGTGATGTGAGTATTTTCTCGGTAGGCGTTCATAGAAAGTAGAGTGAAAGAGAGAAGGAGCATTGCCATGGCAAAATGGCAGTAGATTGACAATGCTTAAATATGATTAAACATGGACTTCAAGATTCTTTTTCAGAACCTAGTTCATTAAAGTCATCATGGGGATGTTGACGGAGTCTGCCGACCATTTCAGTGACAATTTTTTCTGTCATTTTGCAATTCACAATGGATTTTCCATTAGTTAGATCAGTTGTGGGCGCTACTATTATATTGGTGTTGATGATATGAGCTTATGCTTCATCTGGCATATTTGTAGGTTTATTTTATTATGTCGTGAAATACAATCTAGCCGAAGATTGAGTCCCTTCATCCACTTTTTGTCAAGGAGGCATTCATATTTTATTCATTGATTAGGAGCTGTTCAGTGATGTTGAAGTAATTTTGTGTCTCGTTTTCGTATTGCATTGCCATGTCAAGGTCTTTTAGGTTGCAGCATCTTGTCTAGGATGCTTATGTTTAACTCTTTATCGATTAGGTGACACTGAAATCCCCATCACCTGATGCTGAAAGATGAGAGTCTTTACTTGAGTTCCTATGGGGTCATTTGTCCATGAAAAGAGCCCATGTCTAATTGTTTGATTAGGACATCTACTGAATGGCTAATTAGACCAGCCACTACATGTATAACGGTCATCTTGTGAGGGGTTGACTATAACGTTGGAAAATGAGATGTGATTTGGGATTAGTCCGAGATGGTAATTCTTCATTACTGGTGCTATTGCAGGCTCGCTGTCTAAGCTTAGAGTATCTAGTGATTACATCAGCATCCCACTTAGGAAAAACCAGTGTCCATACGAAGATGCAACATTAATGACAATAGCATTAAGCCCCTTAAGCTATAGAAGTTGTCGTATGTGAAAGCTAATTCCAGGAACTTGATTGTTGTGAATTATTTGCATCTGGTGCCTTGGCAAAGATGATCATATTTTGGGGACTAAACTAAATTTTACAGGGTTCTATACTTTTGTTAGGATAACTTAATGTCCGGAACTTGGCATTAAGATCCTGCCCTTTTTAGGTTCCTTATAATGTTTTATGGTTGGCTAATATTATATGTTTATGCTGCTAACTCCCGCACAAGAATCAACTAGTTGTTTTGGCAAGAAGCTGCAGCTTAGTTTAGATAACTTTACCTATGGGATAGAGCTAAAACCATATTGTAAACAAAAGATATTCCTGCTGCTATGAATTGTGGGCATCTGTTGCATTCTGGAACTTTGACATTTCTTGTTGAAAGTTACATTAGAGGATTTAGATTTTTTTCGCTAGAAAAAGAAGGATGAGAGGGGGCTACCGGTGTAGCTGGTTCCTTTAGAGCATTGCCATAGGAACTCTACATCCAAGCCCTCGGATTAGAGAAATTTAGATGCTGGGAGAGATATCAGGAAGGAAGAGTTTGTGATGGACAAACATATGTTCTTTAACTAATATCATGCAACTCATGGATCCAAGATTTCTGTAAATTTTCTGGAGATCATTTGTCCATTGAGATTGTGATGCTAGTTTTAACAAGTCATTTTCAATTATTTCCTATCTGTGTGCTCCTGTATTAAAAAAGCCTTGATTGCATCAAATGATTTACTTCGTGAACTTGCTATCAGCACAAGCCTTTTGTACTATGACCTTGCTTCTTATTCCTCGGAAGGTAGATGAAAGCCTTTTGTTTTGTTTATGTTTTTTTCAATTACGACAGTCAACATATAATGTTTCACCCCTTCAGTGTTCCTTTTCTTGAATTGTTGAAAGAGCCAGCGAATTTTGTAGCGAACCTGATGAGTTGCAGTTTGAAAGGTCCGAGGAGAATTGCTAGTTCTGAACCCAACAGCCAATATTGGCGGACGGCTATCTTTCAGGATCTTAGGCTTTTTAAGCTTCACTTTCTCACATGTGATGTCAATTTGTGCTCATGAACTAGCAGCTAAAGTTCTCTATAATGGCAAGCCAAATAGCTCAGGCTTCGTTTAATTTGTTCACGTTCATCTTTTGTGCAGTTGTTGTAGCAGCACCTTTTTCTCCCTCAGTCCTGGGAGTTTTTACAGTCTACTAACCTGTTGAATTTGTTTTGTATTCAGGGTCTCCGATGGTGCGCAAAACGACTGAGAATAGACGAAGATGGTGATGTGGCTCACGAGTTTCTTGATGAGGTGTTGCCGGACGCTACTGAGCCAGAGGAGAAGCCGCTGCCAAAGTTTGCTGCGCGGTACAGCACTAGACCAGCTATGGTCAAGAATCAGGTAATTTCCCACGATGGCAAGGTTCAACACTGTGTGGAACACCATGGTAGACTAGAGTGGGTATAATACTAACAAGGACCCGTGGAGGAATGTTCTCTTCTCTCCACTTCTAGGAACTTCATCCTCTCCTCTGGGAATACTGCATGATTTTTTGCGATTCATTGCGAATGATTCTTGTAACTGTACTGATAGATGATACTTCCATATTGCAGACATTCCTGTATCCGTATTAAAAGGGATAGTGTATATTAACTTTTTAAACTTTCCCATATAAGAATGTCATCCTACTTTGAGTTTGCTGCTGAATTTTTATGCAAGCGTATGCCCTGTCATTTTTGAGAGCTGATTCTGACCGGGATAAAGGATTCTCAGATTCTTTAGCAGTTAAAAGAGTTGTTGGGTTGCTTGCTTGTATGCATCACCAAGATTGCAATTCGCAGTAAACCATAAGAGCAAAGCGACTCTGTGCCGCTCATTGTGCTCTAAATAAGTTCACTTGTAGTAAAAAGAGGCCCAGAACAAACCCCAACGAACTTAAAAAAAGGGCTAATGTCTAGGCAAACCATGTCTTAATTAAAACACGAAGCACTGCATATACTTGTGTGTGTGTCCTGAGTGGGGCGGGTGCCCTCCTAAAGGGTAGGTCGGAACTGTGGTTCCAGTCATTGGATCTGCAACCCCGATGGGCTGGTGTCCGGTTTGGTGGCCCGGGGCTGCAACCACACGAGTCGCTGGCTCTTGGACATTGCCTGCCAAGGTGGAATGCTTGGCAGTAAATTTATTAGCTGCGTGCTTCGCCTTGGCTTGGTGCAGCTCCATCTTGGCCTCGGCCTCGGCCTCCTTAGCCTTCCTGTGCTGGTGCGCCATCTCTTTCTCCTCCGGTGTCCTCGCCACCGCTTTCTCCTCCTGCAAAATCTCAATCTTGATTACTCATTCCCTCGGAGCGAGACTCATATGTCCTGCTGCAATGCAAAGCTAGAGCGCAAGTTTTTGTGCAATTATGAGTATGGGGGTTGTCTATGAGGACCTTTTCTTCAAGTTTGGCTTTGGCTATGTTGATGTGCTCATTGGCAGAACTGGCCACGTTCTTGAGCTTCTCTTCTGCGGATTGCATCTTCTTGCATTGGGTCTGACCTTCCTTGCTCTGTTCTGGGTTTGCAAATGCTGTGTGATAATTGAATGTGAAAGGGAACCTCGTTTAAAGTACAATATAGACCGAGGGAATGCCTGTCTAGTGATGGATCGTCCATCCGCCGCTGCGTAAGCTGCCACGTGCCGAACATGCAATGTTAAACGTAGGATGCGCCGCCACGTCGGACCTCAGATGAGGCTAACTCCCCTCATATAACCCCGAAGCTTAATAAGGAGAAAAACATTCGGCAAACTGATTTTAGATTTAACGTGATAGATAGAGTTAATTATATAATTCACACGAGTTTCGGGTGTATTTGTTTCGGAGGAAACTTTATGATAAAAGACTGCGAAATCATATTACATTTTCTCCTTTTTAGATTTAAAATTTCATTTTTATAAATTGTAAACATGCATATTTTCTTTGATCGTTTATATTTTTCAATGACCGATCATTTTTAGCAAATTAAACGCGTGAATATCCAAATTTCTTCCCTCACAAACTTTGTTTTATTATTTCCCTTTGATTCTTTTACCAGTTTTGAAGATATTGGCAAGAGAGGATGCGGCTATCTATAGCCACAGGTTAGCTCTGTCTTTTTTTGTTTCTTTTGCTCTGACTGAGGTAAAAATGCCATGGAATCAGCGGGCACGTTCGGGCTTTGCAATAAAAGATTATTTGATTGTACCAATACGACCAGTTTTGCGATACGGTCGCAATTTTTTTTTTGTAAGGTCTTTAGATTCAATATACTTTTGCTATAGATTTTAAAGACTTGGCGTAGACATGGCCACGGTTAAGGAACCGCTGGTTCATGGCCATATGTCGGCGGTTGTGGCCATGGGCGAGGGCGACAGCGGCGACGGGGGTCAGATTTGGGAAGATGGGGGGCGGGCGGAGGAGAAAAGGGAAGGACAGGAGGAGGCACAGGGGAGAGGGGGGAAGGAGGGATTTGGAGGAGGACTGGAGGAGGTGGGCGTGGGTGGGGGTGGGAACGTGGGGGCGGGAACGTCAGCAGCAGTTTTTTTTTTTTTTTTGGAACCGGTTCCGGTTCCGAACCGCGGGCCCGGTCAACGGGCCGGTTCCGGGCCAAAACCGGCCCGTGGCCAAGTCTGCTTGGAGATATCTCAACACATATAATACAGCAACTTCAAAACAAATTATCAAACTAGTCAGACTCTATATTTTGGCCGTCCGTATAGATGGAGACACGGGAGTCAACAGAAGTTACAGAACGCACGGTGATCAGCTCGCTCACACCACAGGACACACGGTCCGAGCGAAGAGCACTGGATTCTCTCAGAGCCCCCAACGCTATCTCTTTTCTTCCTCTCCACAGTCCCAGCAGGGGGAGCACTGTGCAACGCAGAAGCTCAAGCTCGCTCTCTCTCTCTCTCTCTCTCCGATGGACGTTTCCTTAACCTTCGCTCCCTCCGCCTCGCCCCACCGCCATCGCCGCCTCCTTCCTCCCGCCGGGAGCGGCGGCGGCGGCGGCTGCTCCCGCAGCTTGGCGGCCGCGAGATGCCGCCGCGAGACGACGTCCGGCGAGCTCCGGGCGGCGGCCGGGCCAAACGGCCGGAGCGGGAGCCACGCGGCCTCCGTGCCGGTCCACAAGGTCACCGTCCACGATCGGCAGCGAGGCGTCGTTCACGAGTTTTCGGTCCCTGAGGTGAGAATTCTACGCTGAGGTAGATGTAGGCGGATCGTTGCTTCCTTCCCACGTTTTCCGGCAATTCTGTCATTAGGATCCTACACGGAGATAATGTAGAGCGCGCACATATGGATCATAGGAAGTTTTTCGATGGCACTCTCGTCGATCAGACTGAGTTTGTCTGCGCATTTCTTCATGACATTGTAGTCCCAGCTGCTTATTGCTCACCGCAATGCCATTAAGGCGCATTAGCTAGGGGCTTGTTTTCATGGGTATCGGTTTTTCTTCGTCTAATGTCAGTGCATTTGAATCTGGATGCAGGATCAGTATATACTGCACACGGCTGAGTCTCAGAACGTCTCCCTTCCTTTCGCTTGCAGGCACGGTATTGGTTTCGTGCTGTAATTTGAGAATGTGTTGGTCCACTGTGCATGGATTGTGCATGGTGCAGATTCTTGCTTTTAGCGTTCAAGGACAAGTGTGGGAACAACAAGAATTTTTTACTGTAGTAACCGTGCATGTTTTGTTTTCCCACAATTCGCTCATCGTGGTCTTCAGCTTGTATGCTCAATAGTTTCGCAGAATCTACTGAGCCAATGGACCAAACATGAGAAACTCGCTGACCAAAGAGTATGAAATGTCTACAACAATTGCTCCCTTGATGAGGCAAAGAACGCAATGTTTATACACCTACTATGTGATATGCACCTTCAAGTTGCAACCTTTGCAAGAGCTGTTGGTTTGCTGTCATGCGAAAACCCGTTCTTGCAAAACACTGACCGCTAAAATGTCCCATAAAGTCGGTGACTCTGAGATCAAATTGGTTGGCTCAATTGCTATGGACCACACTTCTCATGCACTGATCCTGTCTTTGCATCTCACCATCGTGTCACTACTTTTTTGTAACCTGAAAGGTGAAAAATAAAGAGGCCTATTGCTTGCTTGAGGAACTTTTGGATTCGTTATCACCTCATGCATTACTTTAACCATCTGCGTTACTACTGCTAGTGCTATCTTTATGTCAAAACACAGATGTGCTGAGAGCTACTGTGACAGGTTGTTGTACTAGCTGTGCTGTTCGAATAAAATCAGGAGAAATCAGGCAGCCTGAAGCACTGGGGATTTCTGCTGAATTAAAGTCTAAGGTACTATACATTCCTATTCCACTTGGAACAATGGCTGGATTTAGACAATCCTCCATTTATGTAATGCTAAGTTTCTCTAAGACATGTGAAACCACATACCACGGGACGTCTATCTTGGTATTGGGAAGAGACACTTCTTCCTTGACCATTCCTATTTCAATTACTGCTTCCCTTGCTAGTTCATAGTAAGGAGAATAACAATAGGATCTTTTGATCCTGTGTAGTTCGATAGTAAAGAAATTCAGTTTATGAAGGGCCGTGTTGTATTGACATCTGTAATTATACTGTTTTAGTGCCATGGGTGAGACTGGTTGAATTGACTATGCAGGTCCTCCGGCTAATCTGCAGTTGTTACCAAACAATTCAGTTCCAATTCCCGAATTTGGTTTATCTAACTGACCGGGAGGGCCCTTTGGCAAAATGAATTTTAGGGAATTCACAGTTGTTTTCATTATATGTAAATTCATTGACTGGGAAGAAATTTTACCTGTCTGATGTGATCATCATAAAGATCAATATCCTGAAGATATTGTCGGATCTTGGAACCAAATTTGGCCTGATGAACCAGTGGTTCATGATATGCAAACTTAATTCCCCAACAGTTGGAAGTTTTGGTTGAAATCAGATAGGTTTTACATTCTTAGTTCTCTGAATATCTACTTATCAGAAGCTCAAATTCAGCTAACAAACCTTGTATATATGAGAGATGTCATTTATTTGCTTTTACTGTAGTATTGCAGTTGTAACTTCTTAGATAGTTTGTTCTTTCTTGGCAATCCAGGGGTACGCACTACTCTGTGTTGGCTTTCCTTCCTCAGATCTTGAAGTAGAAACACAAGATGAAGATGAGGTAATGTGCTTAATGATGTCTATCCATATATGATCTATGAAAGGAGTCTCCAGTTATGAGCTTAGGATGTTCTGTAGAATTACACTCGCCACTTTGAGTTGAGTGTAACTTGTGCCCATGATTCGTGAGGGAAGCTGTACCTACTCATGAACTATTTTGGAACCAATTTACTTCATTTGACACGGATTAGATCTTTTTGGTTTATTTTTTCCTCCCTTTGATAGTAAAAAGCGTGCCATCACTTTTCCTCAAAGACTTGGTGCTTGGCTGGGGCATCATATCGCTTACACGTTTTTTTTGAGCTCAAGTAAATGTTTTGCTCTTGGTATAACTTTTTAGTCTGGAAAACATGTCTAATCTGTGAATGTGATGAGTTGGGGAGAGCATAGATTTTGCATTCTGCATGAAGTAAATCCGTTTGAGAAGTTTGCTGTAGATGTTTCGTTCCTATTTTTCAAACATCATTCATGTGACTTGCAGGTCTATTGGCTTCAATTTGGAAGATATTTTGCGCGAGGACCTATTGTGAGTTCGAGATACCTTGTCATCAATATAAAACTTTACAATTAGATTGAACGAGAACTGTAAAGATATGGAGTAGCGGTTAATTTCCTAGGGAGGAATTGGGATGTTTAACGTCCTGTTCCTGAAACAGTGCTTGTTTTTTCTCTTTTGTTGATGCTGCAGGAAAGGGACGACTATGCTCTAGAGTTAGCAATGGGTGATGAATAAGCCGACCAGATGTGCAATCAGAGACGATAGTCTGAGATGATTTCTCCTCTCCCGAGTCGGACTTTTTGCTATGAAACATCGTTCTACGAATAACAGTCGATTCTCTCGATAGTAGCCTACTCTACCACTCTTCTTGTTGGCAATTGAGATGGTCTTCCCTTGAAATATAGATGCAAAATGTACACTGTCAATTCAACGATCTGCGGATGCATTCCAGGATGAAGCCGTCGTGTGTAGTCTATGAATCTGTTTGTATCATCCTGGAGGTTGTTTAGTTTCTTGTCGTAGCCTGAATTGAACTATCAAATAACAAAGGGCGATCATAATGGAAACAGACAAGTGCGCGCGCGAAAGCGCACAGCCTTGTCCAAGCACAACCACCCTCACCGCTTATGCGCTTATGCACTTATGCATGAGTACCCAAGCACTCACATACTACGCTAATCAAAGAATTGGGATTTACCATGAAGGAAAATCACTAAAAGTTGTCCCATTCATGTGATTGTATCCTTTAGCAATCTAATCAGTTCTCATAACCAGACCACTTAAAGTTTGGCTCTTCAAAGATATGACATTTGCAAGAAATGTTGTAAAGATCGGTCTTCTCTAAAGAAGAAACTGTACAAGTAATACCAGGAGAGTGACAAGATGTAGCCCTTCACACAGCAAACTCTAATATACTCGAGAAAAATACACATGAAGAGATATGAAATTGCCAGTCAAGGTGAATCAAATAAACTAATTTAACCAGGAATTTCCACCAGAGACATTGAACATGTTATTTCGTCTACATGCTTTCTTAGCAAAGTAAGTCACTAACTCACTCTTCGACCTCATCAGTTGCAGCACCACGATTCCCGTACACAATGGAGAAATAAAATCCCAAGGTTCTCAGTGTAAGGCCAGGAAACCTGTGAGAACTGTTTGGTCGCAAATCGATCTGGACAAATGGCCATCTCATTGCTTCTGCCGCTTCGCACTCCTCCCATCCGTCCCCAATCACACAGAACTGGACATTGGGACTGCCAAAACGCTCCTTAATCCACTCGAAACATTGGAGTTTCCCCACATCCCATGAGCTGTACACTGAAAAAAACACGGTGCATTTCAACGTGCAATCCTGACCACAGCTATCTTAAAATCAACAAGACAATTCATAAGTTTATTATAATAATGTTCGGAATCATCACTAGTATATAAGCCAATACAAGACCAATAAGTTGATAGGTTGACATCAAGAGGACCAAGACCCTCCACTTACCATCTCTGTGCTTTATCAAACCGTTAAAGTGAAAGAGCAAGCATTTTGCGATGCTGGGTATCAACGATCCTGAGGTCACTAGAACGTTTATGGACTGAGAATTCTTCTTCTCGGCCATCCCTTTGGCCGAGTCAGGACAAGGAATTGGGTCCTCCTCCCCACTGGAACACTTATCTAGGAAGGACCTGGCTGCAGTTAAAATAAGGATGTTACCTTCAAAATAAGCATTTAAGTCGACAAAGTAACAGTCGCCAGAAACCATACCCGAGGAAAGCCAACCGCCCGTGTACTCATCGCTCATTTGGTACAACTGATCCCACTTTTCTGTTAAGTCTTGGTTAAAGATATTGTGCAGACCCTGAAATAATTAAGTTTGGATCCAAAAGAACTCTGTGAGCAGTACGACAACTGAGTAGAATCTGTATACTTCTACCATTTGACCGCATTGGTAGTTAACAAGCTAAATATCTGTAGAGACTTCATGAGGTTATATTCTCCCACACAATGGCACAACTAAATTATCATGTATAGGATGCCTAACCAACAACTTGATAAAACAATCACTCTAAAGTGCGGCATGACTAAAATCTGTCAATCATCCAAAGCAATTTGAGAGTCTACATCTAAGTAAAATCCTCATGACATCCCAGTAGAGAAAGTATTACACTAACGCATCTAGTGAACATGCGTACATCTATTCATGCATTGCATATGGCCAAGCTCATTAAAATTCTCTCAAATCTTGCGATGTGACTCAGAGATAGGAGATTACATGCCAGCCTGCCTATATATAAAGAGCTAAAAGGATCATACTTAGAATGAGGCTTGCTTAAACTGCATCGCGCTCAAAGAAGCTCGACTTAATATCAGAATAAGCATAAAAAACAACCCAATGAGGATGGCTAAGGAACTGAGGAAATTATAGAGAATACCTTTTCATACATATCGGCTGCGGCTCTGAGTCTGTATGCTAGTTTTCTTTTATTGGCATCATCTTTTGGAGGACCAAATCCATCTTGATCAAAGTCATAATCAGAAAGATCTCGCCCATCGTCGAATTTGCTCAAGGAATCAAGAAAGGGCTCATTAAAGTTCTCGATCTACACGATCGAGATCTGATGTAAGTTGAAAGGAGCAACCGTGCCCAAGAAATGATGCCGATATTCGTTAGGATTCAGCATTAGACATTTTTCCTAACAGAAAATGCGAAAAGAGAGGGGAAGCTCACTTGCTCATAATGGAAATGATCATCGCATAGATCAAGTATGAGCTTCTCCCACATCTTGCCAATCTCTTTACCCTTCTGTACATCCTTGGAACCGCCGTGTGCCTCCGCATACGTCCCATTTAGCAAAGACTTGAGCAGTATAAGAGTCTCATCCATGTCCCAAACATATACATTCACTTTGTGATCCTCGATCTCCGCATCCGTACTCTTGGCCCTTTTGCTAGGAAATCCAGACGTGCCATCCATATGTTCTGTCTGTTTCACCAATAAATTCGACAAACTTGAAATTTTCGGAGCCGAAGAGACCCTGACAAATCAAAGGGCCAAACACCAACTCATAAAGACAATATCCGACATAAACAGAGCAACTTCATAGTTAATAGGCAAGCCTGAACAGCAGATTTTTTGCTGACCTACCGCGGATGAAAATTTGTACAACCCCAGAAAAATCTGAAAAAAAAAAAAAAAAATCTTTGCCTACATCAATACAGAGTTCTCCATCATCAAAGAGTAAAATTAAAAGGAAAAATAACCCATTAAAGAACTGATCAATTTGAGTGCCAAAGTTTGAAACTTTTCGAGAAACAGCAGAGAATAAGAGGCAACCCGCGTGATATTGCATCCACCCACCAAAATTTGAAAAGCTCAAGATTACATCGAAAAGAAGGCGTCGATCTCTACCTGTTTTGGTCACTCGTTAGCCAGTCCGATGGCTGAAATGCGGTGCCCAGCTCGAATTACCTCCTTCGAGAGCTCCGACTCGCGAAATTTGGAGAGACTTGTATTAGGGTCTGAAGCTGAACTCGAAGTGAATCAAAGCCATCTGTATGGACAGTTTGATGTTGGCGACAGATGGTCCGCACCCGTAACTTTGGCACCTGGGTTATCGGGTTCGGGTTAATAAGCAATTCATAAAGGAAAAATAACACAAATGATACCAATAAAACGTTTTATACGGATTTTTAAGTTTTGGCCAAATGTATAACGTGATCTTAATAATCAAACGTACAATGTGATCCCTAAATTTTTAATTTGTTCAATATGGTCTATAAATTTTTTATATATATTCAATAGTCCATAAACTTAAATTAATGAAAGAATAACATTAGATATTTTCTTATAATCTAGGGACTCGATTAAAGATTGATCAAGAGTTTTGGGTGTGAATAAATTAAATATTCAGGCACTTCATTGCACATCAGGATAAAGTTCATGAATCAAATTGAACAAATCAAAAGCTCAGGGGCCGTATTACACATTTAGCCAAAGTTCAGGGATCATTCATGTAATTATCCCATTTATAAACGAAAATCAACGAAATGAGGAAAAAAAAAGACAGGGAAAATACGTGGAATTATCAAATCCGGCCCGAACAACCCGGCCCGACGGGCCTATAGTTTTTACCCAGAGCCCGCCCATTCAGGCCCGTTCTTCCTTCCTTAGAAACCTATATAAGTCTCCCCCACCCACACCGACTCATCTCCCTCTCCCTCTCCCTCTACCTCTCCCCCGCCATTCTTTTCCCGCTCTGCGCTCTGTTCAAGCCAACCGTCATCCCAAAGATCGAACCAGTCTCCATCATCATTCACTCAATCTCTCCAAAACTCTTTTCCCCATTTCACCTCTCTCTCTCCATCGTGTGAACAAGCCTCTGTCTTGGCAGCGACACCGACCGAGCACCCTCGATGGGTAAGAGCGCAAGAAACAAGCAGAGATCCAAGAACCGACCACCGCGGCCGCAGAACCCGCAGCCCAACCCCCGTGACCAGCCGGGTCAAGCGCCGCGCTCCAGGTCGGGGACCGGACCCGGTTCAACCCCTCCGAGCGGCCCTGAGGATCGTGCCGGCCGTGACCCGAGTTCCAGTGCTAGTCGGCTCCCGACCCCATCCCCGGCGATTGGCCCTATGCTCCGGCGTGTCGCGCAAGAAGATGTCAATAAGTTGACGGTGGAGCAAAGGTTAGAGAATATACTGCTGAGAGTTTTGAAGGATATGTACCTGGAGGCGTTGCGTGGGCTTGTGGATATAGGGTATGACGAGGATACTGCGCTGAAGGCGATCCTGAGGAACGGGCATTGTTACGGGGACGAGGATGTGCTGTTGAATGTATTCAATAACGCGCTCGCTTACTTGGCTGGCGATTGCCGTAGTAGGAACCCGATCTTCGAGGCGAATGGGATTGTGTTCACTAGCTTGGCGCGTCTGGTGGAGCACTCGCTGGGTTGCATGGTTCACGTGCTGCAACAGATTCACCACAGTAGAAGGATGGCGATGTGGGCTCTCATTTTTGGCAAACTCAATATGAGTTCGGCAATTGCATTGCCTCCATCGGATGGGGATAGCATATCTGATGGTAGTGACAAGAATGCAGGCGATGTTTATCTGCCGCCGTGCTGTAGGTTCAACCGCTGTGTGGGGATTCGTTGGTTACGAGATTCAGAGGTTTCCTCGAATAGGTCGGCTGTTGGCAATGAACGGAACAACCATCGGCCGAATGATGAAGAGCATTTGCAAAGAGATATCGAGGTCCCAGAGAGGTTTGGTTTGTCACCGGAACTGAAGTCAATGCTGAAAAAGAATGTAGCTAAGGTTGCTGCGGCCATTCGGGAAAACTCTATGCATCTGTTGGCCCAGGCCTCTATGCCCTCAAATGCTTCTGTGAAGGGGGATGCCCCGGCGGTTTCGCAGCCTGAAGTTGGTGACAAGTCTAGTGGTTTGGGGTGCAAAGAGTGGGTGAACTCTGTGGTGGACACACTTAGCGGTAAACTTAGCAATTTAAATCTTGACGGGAATTTGGTTGGTTTGCCAGAAGATAGAAAGGATGCCATTATTCTGCACTTGCAGAATCAAATCGAGGATCTCGAGAAACAAGTGAAGGAGAGAGAGGCGTGGGCTCGCCAGAAGGCGATCCAGGCAGAGAAAAGTGTTGACAGTGCTTTATTGGAACTCGAGACGTTGAGGAAGGAGATGGCGGAGAGTCATGCATTGAAGAAAGGTAAACCGACTCTTGATGTCAGTACCATGATGAAACTCTCTGAGAAGCAAAGTGCTTTGAGGAAGGTGAGTGCCCAAGCGGAGGCTGCTCACGCAGATATGGTACGAGTTGAGAATGAGAAGGCTAAAATCAGCGCGGAATTGGAGGCTTTTAACCTAAGTGCATCGGAATCCGCAAACACCTATCTGGAGATTGCAAAGAGGGAGAAGAAGAACCTGAAGAAACTCTTGGGTGCTGAGAAACAGAAAGTCAAGCTTCAAGAGGCGATTGCAGAGGAGCGGCGGAAGATCACTGACTTACAGCAGCAGTTGGTTGAGATAAAGAAAGCCCAGAGGGAAGCTGAGGTCTGTTAAATTCGTAGTCCAAGCGCACACAACTTTTTGTGCCCTAAGTACGTTTGTTTGTCGTCTGGGCAGATTTGATGTCTCTTATCATGCTTGTTGAAGTTTAGCTTTCTATATCTTTGAGTTCGTACAACAGGGAATTTCACGTCTATCTGGCAATTCATCGGCGGCTTGACATATAATGAATTCAGTGCTGTGATAAGAGGACCTACTTCTATATTTTAATGGGTCTGAGACAAGATGACTAGAGGAAGACATAAGAAATCTGTACATATCTGATGTTAGCAAGTTAAAAGTGGGAACACCACCAGATACTGAATGTGCAAGATTGCGTTTTCGTTCTTTGTCAACTACCTATGAAGCAGTCCTGTTGTTTTCTGATGTCGTAGAAGGAAAAAGAGGGAACTGTTGGTGTACTGATCATGAGATTGTGGTTAATATATGTACCTTGTCATTTAAGCTCACTTAGTCACCTACAGACTTACGTTTATCAGACTGGCATAGGGGTCTTGATGTGACATCACAGGTTAAATTCCAGAACGCACAAAACTCTAGCACAGAATACTAAGAAGAGACACTTTGAAGTTACCTATGAGGTGGCTAGCTTAGCTTAAGTATTTCTTCTTTGAATATCAAACAAATTCTCCTGCGATTTACTTGGTGTATTTTCTTTTCTCTGGTTTCCATGAAGTGGGAAGAACTTTCTTCACTTCCCATCTTCAACCGTTTCTTTAGTCATCATATAGTTCATTGTACTCTAGCATTCCAAATCTATTTAGACACTGTCAAGAATTTCTTAGCTGATTCTGTTTCTTTATCACATTAAGTTGTCATGATCCTTGTCTGGGGAACCTGCGCTCAAGAAGTCTAGCCTTTCTAGCTTAATGTGAAGCATCTTCAAGGGAACAAAAAGAATATTTGATAGAGCTTAACCAACAATTTCTTTTGATTACTTTTATGGCAATCGGAGAACAACTGGTGTTTTGCCCACCCAATATTCTTTTGCATCTGGATTCGTTAGAGATGCTATAACATTGTTCATGTCATTTTTTTCTTTTAGAATTTCCTTGTTTGTGATCAACTTCCTATCCATCATATTAAACTGCAGATGAAGTGGAGGCAGGCAGCAGATGAAAAAGAGCTTTTGAATGCACAGATTAAGGAAGAAAAGCGAGCATTGGAAGCAGCGAAGGCTGATAGTAAGAAAAGGCTAGAAGATGTACGCTTAAGAACAGAGATAGAGTTGAAGTCATACAGGGACAAAGTCCTGAGACTAGAGCGAGAGCTTTCATTTCTAAAAATAGCGACTGGGAACAGCGAAGCAACGGCAGAGCTCGAAACATTGCTTCCGCTGATGCATGGATTGGACGAACAGGATGGTAGAAAATGCATAATCTGCAGGAAAAATGAAGTCTGTGTTGTCTTCTTGCCATGTGCCCATGAGGTTTTGTGTGCTGACTGCTGTGACAAATACGGGTATAAGGATAAAGTCTTATGTCCTATGTGTCAAGTTCCGATTGAAGAGGCGATCCGGGTCTTTGGAGGTAGCTTGAAATAATTGATGCTTCTGTCTGCATTTGACCCATTTGGTTCCTTGTTACTGGCTGAAGCAGGTCTCAAATAATCTTGCGGGAACTGGATCAACAATGTCAAGGTGTACATAGCTGTAAAGTGATATTAGGGTTACACGGTCTTGCTTACAAAGTGATGTTACAGATTTTAATCGGGTGATTGAACCAGTGGGACATCCCCTTTGAACAATTTTTTGTACGTCAGCCTGCTCTAGGCCTGCTCCTTGAGATTGAAATATGGGAGTTACACTGCAATTTGTCAGCAAAAATGTGAAGTTTTTCAAACGACCTTATCTCATCATGGTTTGTATCCTGAATGTTTACTTACTCAAATGAAGTTTGAAGAGAGAGAGAGAGAGAGAGAGAGCTAGCGAGTCAATTTGTTTGAGCAAAGATCTGGATGAGGCAGTAGCAGTTTGCAATAGTTTTGGGAGAAGAAAAAACTTGGATAAGCGCACCATAGAACACCTACAGAGGACTTAGTTGATTATCGAGAAGTATTCGGAGTTCGTGGCTTTCTTTAGGGTCTCCATTGAGCCTTAAGTGCTTCCAAAGCAGTGACTAGCTAAATCAGTTAGATCTAGTTTTTACAGCAGATTTCTCCAGTACACCTCTTTCACGTGTCTACTTAATATAAGATGCAATAGTTGCCTCCCTTCGTATTCTTGAATTCCCTTTCACTTTTACTATTTCGTGTTGTGAATCGCCAACACAATTACGACGAAGGACGGCGCCTGATTAAAGGCACTCAGATGACGATTATCATTACGCCATGGCGGTTATGCAAATTAGTCTAGCATGTCAATGTACATTATATTCTTTTGACCGTAGCTGAAGGAACGTCCTTTTTCCGTCTCTCGCCTTTGCAAGCATCTGTACTGTTTATCAATTTAGTAAACACCAATATCCAACCTAAGCAATTCTTTTCGTGGTTCCTTCGAAGCTTTGTGATCAAAATATCAATAGGTTCAGACGATCTAACGGTTTATGAGACACCCACTTCAAATTCCATAATCGAGACAGTGGTCAATTCAATATTGCCAGAAAATGAAAGTTACTCCTTCCCGCCATCTTGGTTTGCTCTTTTGTATTATACAGACCCACCATCTTGGTTTCCTCTTATGTCTTATACAGAGTCAGAGTGCCAGCAATTTCTATATATACCTTCATCTGATTCATTTTCTTGCATCCGGCACTTGAATCAAGCCTAAGCCAGAATGTCACAGAATGAAGAATCTTAGCTTCAAACCATTCACTTTCATGCTTCTTGTTCATGTGGTGACCTATGTGCAATTCACGGAGGTTGAAGCGCAGAGTTGCCGTGCAAGCCGTTGAATCAGAGGGAGGAAACCACCGCCCGGACAATGCTACACGGTTGACGAATTGGACTGTTGCGTCGAAGGCAAAATGTACCCCGTTTATCAGTGTTCGCCGCCGGTGTCTGGCCACACTACAGCCCACCTCACTCTTAATAGCTTCGAGAAGGGAAAAGACGGCGGCGGTCCATCGGAATGCGACAACCAGTACTATTCCGACAATTTACCGATCGTGGCACTATTCACTGGCTGGTTCGACAACATGAGCGGGTGTCACCACAATATAACCATTAACGACAACAGCAGGAGCGTGGTGGCCATGGTGGTCAACGAATGTGACTCGACCATGGGATGCGACGCAGACCATGATTATCAGCCTCCGTGCGATAATGACATTGTCGATGCGTCTAGAGCCGTGTGGGAAGCCTTGGGCGTGCCTAAAGACAAGTGGGGATGGATGGACATAACATGGTCCGATGCTTAAGGCTAAATTTTCATCTAAAGGAATTATTATGTCGATCTAGTTGTTGTCTTCTCGTTATTCTTGGTTTTTTCGCTGTTCTGTTGTGTATGTGGGCTTATGGCAGTGTAATTATGTTATGTACCTTATGCAATGTAACTTAGAAAAATCAAGTCAGTCTGCTCTGGGCATATGACTTCAAAGGTTGGTCTCTTGTATTAATTTGTTTCATATTAGATCTTAATTTTATTTTTGGTCCGTGGATTGCCAAAAATTTTTTTTTCAAAGAATTCGAACCTCCTGTGACACTTTCAGATCAGAACATACGCATATACCTTTCTTTTTTAGAGAGAATATGCTTTTGTATTCTTTGAATAAGAGGGCTTGATAAATTAAAGATTGGACAATCCCGAACGAGGTGCACTGGGCGCTCGAGAATCACCTGATCTAGTGGTCTCCGTGGCCTAGATGTGTCAACTTGTGTCGTGTCAATTTGTGTCGACTTCGAGTTGATTGTTACCGGTCCGTATCCTATTCGAATTTCCCTAGGGGAAATCTTCGTCACAGCTTCCTATCGAATCCTATTCTCGTTCAGGTCAGAAATTACAACTCCTGCCCTGATCCGATCGTTCCTAGATGCCTATTACGCCAAATGTTTTACCTGTTGCTCAATAAATCCAGTGGTTGGGCCAGAGCTGTGTGGCCATTGCAAGTGCCACATGGTGTAACCTGAGCTTCATGTTCGTAGGCTGCCAGTGCACGGGTGTGTCTGATTCTTGCATACGAAAACATTGCATTTAAAGATGAAGCAACTAGCTGTCTTGAGAAGTCACAGACAGCGTTGATGTGTCCGAGTGTGTTTGATGTTAGGTTAACGATCCAAGATCTCTCCCTTTTTGTGTCTTTCCTTTTCTACCAGGTTACAAAACTTTTTCTGATCTTTTCCATGAGCTTTTTTGCTCGTGACTCTCCCAAGTGTGTGCATCATTGCAGCTGGGCAGTTCCAGTTGTCTCTGTCCTCCACACCATCTCCAGTCTTCAAAATTGCTGCACTTTTTATTGTTGGTCAAAGCTCAAAACCATGGCCGGTTGCTTTCTTTTGCAGATGTCAACAACAGTAGAGGAGATTTTTACCAACCATTGATTCACAGTTTCTTCTACTTTTTCTTTGAGAGGAAATTACGATGAAAGGATGACATTGATTTCTCGACACCAACCCATATAGAGCAGAATTATCTTAGCTAAGGAAACAAGATTAGAAGCAAGAAAGAAAATACCCCACCAAGAAAATTCAGCAAAAACGGGCTGGCAATATAATATTGAAGAGTATTACATTACATGCATACTGATAAATGGAATCTCCAATAACAAAGTTTAAGCTGAGGTCATGTGCTTCTTCAGGAGGTATATGGAAGTATTTGGCTTGTATATTATGAATGATTGAACTAATTCAGTTGTTTGCACAAGCTGCATATTCTTCTGTGGCACAACCTTGTTTTTGCTCATTCCTGTGCATGACCGTGATGGAGCATAATAAGAGGCCTAATCTCGTTTCTCTTTTCTTAAACGCCTTTTCCTGACTTAATAAGGCTCCTGACCTTTATACTCTAATTAAATCCTACACAGAAAAAGAACAAAGTATGAAAGCAAGAGGAAGACGGAAAAAGAAGTTCTCTGCTCCATAAATTGGATTCTGTTAAAGATTGCCGCAACGACATTTGTTAAGAAAGGTTGCAATTTTCAATATACTAACATTTCTGATGATGTGAATAGTTAATGCTTTCGAAGTCACATTTTTTTTATGAAGCATGCTTAACGAGTTCCCGTGCCTCAGGTTTACCCGTCACTGGGCACTCGTTTTTGCGTTGAGGAATGGCGAGTGAATCTGCCCATATTTTGGGTAGTGTTTAATTCCCATCAAGATATACAGATTTTGGAACACTTCATTTTTCATGAAACAGTTTTTTCTTCTCTTCAACAAACAACAAATACTTTCTTCTTGCATTTTGACTTCTAGCTGAAATGAAAGCTATCATCTTTAATAGTCTGAAGAACTTTATTGGGGAGAGACATGTGAATTCCAGGTAGAGCATCAACCTCTCTGAGTCTCTTTCTCTCTCCCTCCCTCAACCTCTCAATAAATAACTCTAACCTTGCAGAGAGGACAAGGAGGAGTTTGCCACTAGAAGCTGAACCTCCTCAATATCAAACCAAAAGTGCGATGTGATGACTGACATTGATATAATGCCTGCATGTTCCCACTGCCTATTACTAATCACACATAAACTTCACTGAGAGAGAATCAGAACCATTCTCACATTTTTCGCTATTATGTCTATCTTTCTCAGAATAACTCTAGCTTCAATTGATCATACACTCCAGAAAATGTTCTCTAAAGTTCATGCAGGCAAGGATGTGGCAGTAGCAGCAGACCTGGGGGCTTCAGGGAAAGTTGTAGAGAACACTAATGAGGAGAGGATTGAGAAAATCAAGAGGCTTCCAGGGAAAATCTGCGGGATGATGTGGAAAGTGGGTAAGGAAGATCCCAGGAGGGTCATCCATTCTTTGAAAGTCGGGTTATCTCTGACATTGGTCTCGCTGTTGTACTTGATGGAGCCGTTGTTTAATGGGATCGGCCAAAGCGCCATTTGGGCCGTGATGACCGTGGTCGTGGTGCTAGAGTTCACTGCAGGTTGATATCTAGAATTTTCCAGTTACTTCGGATTTGTAATGAGATTGTATTAGCCTAACAGATCATTTTATTTTCCTCATTGACAGGTGCAACTTTGTGCAAGGGACTTAATAGAGGATTGGGCACTCTTTTGGCAGGGTCCTTGGCATTTCTAATTGAGTATGTTACAACGAATTCTGGTCAGGTTCTACGAGCCGTTTTCATTGGAGCTGCAGTTTTTCTGATCGGTAATTTTGGTCTCTTGTAAATTGCTCTCCAAACATTCATGGTCAAATTTTCTCATCATGGGTCTGCTTACAACTTTTCTGCCTTCTATTGCAATATTTACAGGAGCTACAGCTACCTACATGAGGTTCTTTCCGTACATAAAGAAGAACTACGACTACGGAGTTGTGATATTCCTCTTGACGTTTAATTTGATCACAGTGTCGAGCTATCGTGTTCAAAATGTGTTGAAGATAGCCCACGAGCGCCTCTACACCATTGCCATCGGCTGCGGCATCTGCCTTTTCATGACTCTGTTGGTATTTCCTAACTGGTCGGGGGAAGATCTCCATAATTCTACAGTATCCAAGCTAGAAGGCCTGGCAAGATCCATTGAAGGTAAGTGGAACACCTCTTTTTTTTTTTTTGTTGATGCGATAACAAACAGTACTCTTCAGCATAAATAACTGCAATTAAACTTTAGTCAAAACTATAAGAAGTGTGGTTGACCTTTCTGATTGAGAAAATGTTGCTTGCAGCATGTGTTAACGAATATTTTAGTGAGATGAAGTCAGCAGAAGAGGGGAATGAACCATCGGAGGATCGCATATACAAGGGTTATAAGGCCGTCTTGGACTCAAAGACTAGTGATGAGACTCTGGTAACGTTTTTCATTGCTCTTTCAAGAAAACTATATTGATCTTGGATTGACACGAATAAGATGAGACCTTACACGTCTTTGTGCCGTGAACTTTTCAGGCACTACATGCCAGTTGGGAACCGAGGCGTAAAAGACGCTGTTATATCTCCCCGTGGCAGCAATACGTTAAATTGGGAGCCATTCTGCGCCACTTTGGTTACACAGTCGTCGCGCTACATGGATGTTTGAGAACAGAAATACAGGTATCCTTTTAATATGATCCCTATTGTCCACCAACGTAGATATCTTCCTGGGCCTTAGGACGCACAATTTGCAGGTGTTACTTCAATAACCTTATCAGAAACAAGGTCACTCTTAACTTTTTTTGCCCCAACACCTTATATGATAGTTGACCTGCAAAGGTTAATGCTTTCTTCTGTGCAGTTTCCTTCCCTTAATCAATAAAAACTTTTACCACTTTTTCGGGAAAATGAAACGTATGAGCAACCCTCGATATCTTCATCACACTTTAAGAAGTGTTGAGGAGGAAATTCTCACTATTGAGATAAAGCATGCCTTTCTAAGTATAACTTTTCCTGCTCTTACAAACAGATGGAAATTTTCACTTTATAATTATTCCCAGTTCCGTTTACTTGAAATAGTACCTGAGGAACACAGCAGACCTTCAATTTGTCACATTCATGAGAAAAGAGACGAAGATCTATGTTCCTTGTTATTCTCTAAAATGGAACCAGCTTCGAGTTCTTCGTTGCTCTCTAAAACTATGGTCCTGTTAGTGCAAATTGTACGTTGCGATTCTTGTAGTGCACGCATTTTCATGATTCTAAGGATATCTGGTGGAGGACTAATCTAAGTAGTTTTTTGTCTGTTGATTTCTAGACCCCGCTTGCAGTTCGTGCACTCTTCAAGGACCCGTGCATTAGACTCGCCAAGGAGGTACAAAAGGTCCTGATGGAACTCGCCGACAGTGTGAGGCACCGCCGCCACTGCTCACCCGAGATACTGTCCGATCATCTCCACGAGGCCTTGCAAGACCTAAACACCGCAATCAAATCCCAACCTAGGCTCTTCCTAGGTTCAAATGATAACCAATCATCGAACATGCTCGCCCTGGCAGCTGCACAGGCCAGCGAAAAGAACCAGAAGGCCTTCAAAGTCTCATTGCCCAGTGTAAAGACGGACAGTTCTGCCTTACGGGACTGGAGGACCAAAAGGACTTCCGAGCAATTGAGGGAGAATGAGAGGAAGGTCTTGAGGCCGCAGCTGAGCAAGATTGCCATCACAAGCCTGGAGTTTTCAGAGGCGCTCCCCTTTGCAGCTTTCGCCGCCCTGCTGGTCGAGACGGTCGCAAGGCTCGACCTAGTGATCGCGGAAGTCGAGGAATTGGGGCAGGTTGCATGCTTTAAAGAGTTCAGACCCGAAGATCAGATCTCTATCACTTGCGAGCGTCCACCCCTGGATGACTGTCATAATGATTTGCCTTCCCAAGCAGCAGAATAGATAGTTGGTCATTAATCAGGGGTGGCATAGAAAATTACGTATTAGAGAGCTGGCCATGGTTGATTTGGCTTGGTATCATATCTTTTCCTAGAGTGAGATTCATTTATTGGGATCATGTTCTTCATGGATTAGTGATATTGAAAACCATTTCATTAGCACAAAGCGCCTAGAGGAACCAAATAATGCTACACTCGACAATCCTTTGGGGCAAAAGAAAACTGTGGAGCTGACCCCAATGGAGATTGAAGCTTCATCATGCCTAACAGAAGTATCTGCTCAACCTCAGTTATCTTGACATGTCTTGAACATAAATAAGGCATAATGACACAAATGGTCATTGAACTTTGGCCTAATGTGCAATGTAGTCCTTGAATTTTAGCCCAATGTGAAATGTCGTCCCTGAACTTTTAATTTATCAATGCGGTTCTTGAACTTTTGTTACATGTTTAATTTAGTCTCTGGACAATATGAAAATATTTAATGTTGTCATTCCATTAATGCAAGTTTATGGATAACACTAAATATTGTCATATAGTTCAGGACTAAATTAAACATGTATCAAAAGTCCATGAATCACGTTAAACAAATTAAAAGTTCATTGACGACATTGCATATTAGGCTAAAGTTAAGGGACCACAATGAGCAAATTAACCTCTTTTTATGGAACCGGTATGCTTTTTTTTTTTGTCGGTTGCAACCCCAATGTGCTTTCGCCAGGCAAAACGTTCAACAATCCTAAATCTACCTTATTTCTTAGATGTACCGATCACTCACAACCTGCTATATAACAAAGTTTGCGGATCCTATTACAGGATCGCACAAGGGTTCACCCAATCAGGTCCTCGGCAAACATCGTCCTAGACTAATCTAATCATCCCGTGTCGATACTAACAATTTAATATAATCCGTCGCAATTGGTGAGAGACGGGCGCGCCCCATGGGAATGCTTGGTTGGACCCATCCAAGAGCCGGTCCATCCGTGAGTCACCAACATTACACCCCCTTTCTCAATTAAACATTTGGGATATTTTTGATTTAGTATGATTCCGCCATGACTTTTTCAGGCTCATGTATGGCTTAATATCGCTCCAAACCAAACCAAACGCGTGCTCGATTCGAAGAAATAGGTCAGTCCAAAATAAAACCATGAGAAATCGTGAAACTCAAGAAGCACCCACCCCAGATGGACTTCTGCTGCTACTTTTCTGGTCTCACAACCTCGGTCCAGTTTGACCTCCCTCAGAAACACCATTTCTGTAATGAAGATTCAAGAACATGAAGACTTGTCTAAACGTAGCCATCTATCCCTCGCTGGTTGAGGGACAAGCAGTACCCTGGGAACCTGTCCCAGGTAAGATTGCTTCATATGTATTTTAATATGCTCCCCGGTTGTTGTGCGCCTGACCCATGTCTTCCCCATTAATAAACACCTAAAAAAGGACTGGTTTGAAACTCAAGTCCGAATTACAAACTAGGAAGACCGGTTTACGGGGATAATATTGACAGTGTTCTCGCAATGCTACGTACAATCAGTACGACCTGTAGCTATTAAAGAAAACAAGAAAGAAAGCTGTTTTGCATATCAAATTGACCGATGATGTGTGAATATGATGAACCTTTTCCATTTCAGTGTCCAAGGGAAATATGGGTCCCTGGCTCCTTTATAAACGAGTGCAACAAGCAATGTAGAAAGAGAAATCAAATTAGTCTTCTCACCGGCTGGGAAGATTTCACAGAAAAAAAAAAGTAGAAAAGAACGTTCGGGGATTGATCGGGGAGTTTGAGATTGCGAATGGCGGGGAGTTTCGGTGAGGGTCATGAACAATCAAATGTCAGAGTTTTTGCTGAGAAAGTGCTGAGATTTCCAGGGGAGGTGGGTGTCATGATGTGGGAGATGGGCAAAGAAGATCCAAGAAGAGTGATCCACTCGATCAAAGTTGGTTTGGCTTTGTCACTGGCTTCATTGCTGTGCCTGTTGGAGTCCCTGTCTCAAGGGATTGGCCAAAATGCCATCTGGGCTGTCATGACTGTTGTTGTTGTCCTTGAGTTCACTGCAGGTAACTTCTATCTTAGCAAAAATTAAAAGAGATACAAAGACAATAAGAAGGAAATGATCATTGCAATATGGGCATTCGCAATTTTTGTGAACATGTGTAGGGCTTTTGCAGTTTAATTTTCTTCCTTTTTATCGTGTTCTTTTACCTTCGGTTGAGGAGAATGTGCTATATGAAGCTCAAACACCAAGATCAAAAAGATTTTTTTACCTGTAATACATCTAAGACAGATTGCGGAAATTAAATTCGTAACTAGTTATATACGTCATTAAATCTGGGAATATTGTTGTCACTCTTCCCATCGAATCACTTGACTTATTGTTCGTTTCATATGACAGGGGCAACACTATGTAAAGGGCTGAACAGGGGCGTTGGGACGCTGTTAGCGGGACTGTTCGCGCTCTTTGTAGAGTATCTTACGGCAGATCGGCCTACACCCAGAGCAGTGGTCATGGGATGGACAGTTTTTGTCATTGGTGAGCGCTAAATATCAGGCATATCACGAGTCATTGTTTAGTGGCCTCAAACTGAATTATGCAGTTTAGTAGACCCCAAGCTCCGTCGCCACTTACTAACATTTCAAATTAGACATTTGGCCAAAGGAATTGATACCGACTGTAGATCATCTTCTGTTACTTAAGTATTTCATCAAGTCAATGTTCAACATGCTAGCAAAACTGCCCATGTAATTTCCGAGGGGGCTATAGAGCTCAGTGCAATCTTTTTCCATTCTTTAATTTTCTGTTTCGAGCCGAAGTACATCATACTATGCAATGCCACCATCTCTTTTCTCACTCACCTGGGGTGCTACATTGTGATTCACAGGAGCTACAGTTACCTACGTGAGGTTCATTCCCACTGTAAAGAAGAACTATGACTACGGTGTCATGATATTCATTTTGACCTTCAGTTTGATACTAGTGTCCAACTACCGGGTCGACAATACACCGAAGATGGCACGAGACCGCTTCTACACTATCGCAATTGGTTGTGGAATATGTCTTTTCTTGAGTCTGCTTGTCTTTCCAACCTGGTCAGGTGATGACCTCCATAAATCCACGATAGCCAAGCTTGAAGGACTAGCACAATCTGTAGAAGGTATGATACACATCTTTTGGTTTCGGTTCGCATTCTTGTGAAATGGTTCAATTCAACTGAAGTGGTTTCCTCACAGCCTGTGTTGGGGAGTACTTCGACGATGCTCAGACAAAAGAAATCCAAGACGAATTATCAAAGGATTCCATCGACCAAAACTGCATCAAAGTATTGGATTCCAAGTATACTGATGAAACTATGGTATTGCTCACTTGGTTTTGTGACCCTCAATTTGAAATACGAAAAACCAAATATTTGACTATTCTTGTTGCAATTTTGCAGGCATTATATGCAAGTTGGGAGCCGAGATACCGAGGGAGCTGTTACAAATCTCCGTGGCGGCAATATGTGAAGTTGGGAGTTGCTCTACGCCGTTTTGGTTACACGGTTATGGCTTTACATGGTTGTTTGCACACCGAAATCAAGGTATTGAAAATCGATTCCTATTGGAGCTATCATCAATAGGACAAATGTTTTCTGAAGTAGCTGTAGCTATGACATCCCCAAGCGCAAGTCTGTATCCTGTAGAGGCAACGGTTAATAGCCCAACAATTTAGATTTTTTTTCAAAGAGTCAGGTAAATCATTGCTATGGATATTCATTTATACTGCATGCAATACTGGCATATCAGATCAGAGTAAAGAATTTCCACTTTCATATTAGATTCTCAAATGTAGATTACCTACCATGGATGCATCATTTTTGCCTCCAATAAAATCGGAGACTAAACTCAAATTGTGTTTGTCTATCTCTTCTCTGGGAATCTGTTGTATATCTTTGTTTCTCTAACTGGAGCGCACTTCTAGACACCTGTTGATCATTTTCGTCACGTTAAAGAAACATTCCCTAATTATTGGATTTGATTATGTTTCTTCCTTGAATATAAATTCATGAATGCAAATGTAATGTTGCTAGACTCCACCATCTGTACGTGCTCTCTTCAAGGATCAGTGCACCCGTTTAGCTGGAGGGCTATCAGAAGTGTTGGTGGAACTTGCTAATAGCATGAGGAATCGCCGTCATTTTTCTCCCGAAATTCTCTCCTGTCATCTCCGTAAAGCTTTGCAGGACCTTAACACCGCACTACAGTCCCAACCACATATTCTCTCAGACTCATTGAACAGAAAGGACTCCGGATCCTCTCTTACAACAAGCTTTGAAGCCAATTCTTCTCCATTGCACGAATCAAAAACTGCAAGACCTCCTGAACAAGTGCAATGCATTCAGAAGGTGTTAAGGCCACAGAGGAGTAAACTTGTTATAGCTAGCCTCGAGTTCTCCGAGGCACTTCCTTTCGCTGCATTTGCTTCTTTGCTAGTAGAGGCCGTGGCTAGGCTTGATCATGTTATTGAGGAAGCTGAAGAACTGGGGAGGATAGCTCGGTTCAAGGAGTATAAAGCGGGTGATGATGTTGTTGTGACACTTGAAAGAACAAAATCGGACTTCGTTGAGAATCATTTCCCTCCCTCGGGAACAGAATAGTGGAGATTTTAATTTTTAGGATGAGTGCCCTCTGAGGTTCTGATACTATTTTCTTCTTCTCATAACACCTTTTAGGCATATTGTCTTCTCAACAGGGCTCTTATAGACCAACTTATATACAGATTCACCACATCCTGAAATATTTTGAAAGATCAGAACCTTATTCTTTTATTGATTATAATAGTATTCTTATCTATCAACAAAAGTAAACGGAATGAGGACACTACAAGTGTCATGACTTTCGTATAGAGCTCACTTTAGGATCATAATTTTTTTTTTTACCACTTTAGGTGCCATAACAATCACTTACGTGGAAATCTTTTTAAAAAATGTTAGCCCAAGTGCCGGAAATCCAAAGCCACATAGCACTTGTGGTGAACTTTTTAAATGGCGCTTAAGTGATTGATTGAAAAGTTAACAACATCAAATGATTGGTGATAATCAGCACGTGCTAATTTTGGCCAATGGTCGGGCAAATCTTGACCAATGGTTGTGCAAATATCAAGTGTGGTCTTGTTGTAACGTTCGTCT